TCCTTACTATTTCAGCCCAGTGCAATCGACACGAAGTATGCAGATCTCATAATTCATTCTGCACTAATCTGTAGAGCCAATAATTTACTAGCAATCGCTCTAACAGAAAATAGCCACAAATTCAACCCTAGCAGCAAACTCCCGTTGCTGGGTACGCCATCTTGGTGTAGACTGAACGCTGAGTCATAACGCTATTTCGCTGTGCTCCGTACTCAACGATGCATAACCATTTTATAGATGTCGCTGTTGCGTCCGTCATGACATTCCGTGGTGTATTTTCGATTTGTTGATGTTTTTTATCTGTCTTGTGTTTTATTTAAAAGTAATCTTTTTTTATTCCAAAGTCATTGTGGCATTCCGTGGTTTATTTCGCATGTTTTGCCGCTCTTTTTCTTGTATGATTATAGCCTATTTCATGTTTGTTAATCATTCCACAGGGATTGTGGCATCCCGTAGTTACTCAGTTTTTTTTTGTTGTTTTTCATTTTTCGAATGATTGTGTCCAATTAAGCCAATGTGTAATATTGAGTTCTATTTATCTATTTATTTTTTTGTCTTTTTGTATGATCGTGTTAATTTATTAAGTTAATGTGTAATATTGAGTGTCCCGTTTCTTATATTTGCTGCTTCATTTCAGCTACAAGGTGTCGCTGACTAGATGACTCTATGAGTCTTTCGCGACTCCGCGTCAACTGCAACAAGCCGATATCCATTTGACATTTTGTTACATTATATTATTTATTCATTTTTCATATCGCGCATTGTTTTTTGCATGACGAAAATAAATATCTGAAACAACATCTGAAAATAATGATGAAATGTCGTCAATGAATTCAATGGAATCTGAACCACAAGTTGTTGACTTACATGCATTGAATTACAAAAAGCATAGCCATGGAAAATGGTATGTAACACTGTTTTTAAACAAAAGTCCACTGAATTTTAGAATTGATACCGGAGCTGGTTGTAATACAATAACTCTGTCAGATTACAATAATATGTCAGATAAAGGCATACAGAAAAAGTCTACTAAATTGCTGCGAAGTTACACAAATCACTGTTTTAAACCAGTAGCATCAGTTGATTTCAATATCAACCACAACAATAAAAATGTTAAAGCTTCATTTGAAATTGTGAAATTTAAACAAGAAAATGTTATATCAGGAGATCTTGCTGAAGAACTGAACTTGATCTCAAGACTACAGCCATTAGATATAACATCTGATTTGACAAATGAAACACTCAGTGAATTTCCTGAAATGTCAAATACTAGTGGTACACTGCCTGGAGAGTACACTATCAAACTTGTTCCGAATGCTAAAGGTGTTATACATGCAGCCAGAAGACAACCAGTTGCTTTGAAAATGAAGATAATCGAAAAGCTCAATGAAATGGAAAGAAATGGCCACATTACTAAGGTTGAACAGCCAACAGAATGGGTTAGTTCAATGGTAGTGTCTGTTCGAAAAGATAAATTGCGCATTTGTATTGATCCATCCGATCTTAATAAAGTAATAAAAAGAGAGCATCATCCTATGAAAACGATCGAAGAAGTAGTTTCTGATATACCAGATGCTAAAGTATTTTCTGTACTAGATGCAAAGAATGGATTCATGCAAATTAAGCTGGATGAAGCATCATCATTTTTAACAACATTCAATACTATTGCTGGAGATATCGTTGGTTACGTCTTCCATATGGTTTAGTTTGTAGTCCAGAAATTTATCAACGAATTATGGATAGAATGTTAGAAGACATTCCTGGAGCTGTTGCTATAATGGACGATATTCTAGTCACTGGACGGGATATTAAACATCATGATGAGATCTTGAAAAAGGTTATTCAAAAAGCAACAAACTATAATTTAAGTCTGAATTTCAAAAAATGCTTGATTCGAAAAAATGAAGTACCATACATTGGTCATTTATTAACTTCTGAAGGTTTGAAAGCGGATCCTGCAAAAGTTCAAGCTGTACGCAACATGCCAGAACCAAAAGACAAGTCTGACGTAAAAAGATTTCTGTCTTTTCTGAACTATTTGTCAAAATTCATACCAAAATTTAGTGAAGTTGATGCACCACTCAGAGAACTGCTAAAAGAGAAGGTTGAATTTAGTTGGCAATCTGCACAAAAAGAGGCATTCTGTAAATTGAAAGAACTTTGTTGTAAACCGCCTGTTCTGAAATACTATGATGTCACAAAACCAGTTGAAATTCATTGTGATGCTAGTCAAAATGGCCTAGGTGCTGTTCTGTTGCAAGATGGACGACCAATTGCTTACTCGTCAAGAGCAATGACTGATACTGAAAAGCGATATGCTCAGATAGAAAAAGAGCTATTGTCAATTGTCCATGCTTGTAAGAAATTTCATTGCTATATATTTGGAAAAAGAGTCACAGTATACAATGACCATAAACCTCTCGAAATGATTGCAAAGAAACCTTGGTTGTCAATACCAATGAGGTTACAGAAAATGTTCATGAATTTGCAATGGTATGATCTGGAAATAAAGTATCGAAGAGGCGTAGACATGATTTTACCGGATACTTTGTCTAGAGCCTTCTTAACGGATAAGTCATCAGAAATTTATGGATTGGAATATATAAATATGATGGATTTTATTTCAGTATCCAAAGAAAAGTACTTGGAATTACAAAAGTTGACGAAGGAAGAGCTCAGCTTTCTGCAATTGACCATACAAAATGGATGGCCAGACACGAGAAAAGAATTGGATGTTTCACTTCGTCCATTCTGGGATTCTCGCAGTGAACTTGCTGTTTTAGATGGCATTATCTACAAAGGTATGAGAATTGTCATTCCCCCCAGTATGCAGCAATATGTTCTCAAACTTGTTCATGAGTCACACTTGGGCATTGTTAAATGTAAACAAAGAGCTCGTGAGGTGTTCTTTTGGCCATCAATGAACTCTGATGTAGAACAGTTAGTAAAAAATTGTTCAAAGTGTGCAACTTATCAGAAAGCACTTTCTAAAGAACCACTTAATCCATCAATTCCGCCTACATTGCCATATCAAGAAATTGGAACTGATTTGTTTGAATTTGAGGCAAGAAATTACATAATAACAGTTGATTATTATTCTAAATTCATTGAAGTTGACGAGCTTCGTGATATTTCAAGTAAATCTGTAATAAATGCTCTGAAGTCTCAATTTTGCAGACATGGAATACCAATCTTAATACGTTCTGATACTGGAAGTCAGTATAATTCTGATGAATTCAGAAAGTTTTGTAAAGCATATGGTATTGAACATAAAATGTCAAGCCCGTACTTTCAAAGTAGTAATGGAGAAGCAGAGCGATGTATTCAAACTGTCAAAAATCTGTGGAGAAAATGTGAAGACAAGCATCTTGCATTACTTGACTATAGAACAACTCCACTGGAAGGAATTGGTTTATCACCTGCACAACTTCTGATGGGTAGACGCACAAGAAATACATTGCCCATAGCTACTGCTTTGCTAGCTCCATCATTTTTTGATCGAAATGAAGTACAACGTAGAATGGCATTAGAGAAAGCCAAACAAAAATACTATTATGACAAATCAGGTATGATAGAGCATGATGAACTCAAAAAGGGAGATGATGTCAGGATGTCACCATTACCTGGTTCTAAACAATGGAAACCTGCTGTTATAATTGATCATCATCAAAACCCAAGATCATATATTGTTCAATCGAATGGAAGAAAATACAGAAGGAATAGAAAGCATCTTAGAAAATCTACAAACATTGCCAATAAAAATGCTCATCATTATGATTCTGATTATGATCCCCATGTTGATTCTGATAATGAAAATACCCACAGCCCACCTCCTAATAATAGGCACAGAGCAACAGATAACCACAATGCTACATTGCGAAATAATCAGAGAGATAACAGATACTATGTTACTAGGCGTGGTCGGATTATACATCCTCCAAATAGGCTCAATCTTTAATAGCATTGTGCATGCAAGTTTTCGTTGTGTTGTGTTCTTTTTATTTCAGTGTAAGTGTATATGTTTCTACTGAAAGAATAAGGGATGTAATGTATGGCAACTATCAGTTAGGGTCAAAGGTCATCCTAGAGTTGACGATTAGTTTCTATGTTCAGCTAGCGTCGTGTGTGCTTCTGTATCCAATATAATCTGTGTGTAATGTTTTGAATAACAAATACAAGTTTCTGCAATACAACATACTGAATCGTAAATCAGTCTGTCAGTGCTATTAGAAGTAGCCAGATATAATATAAGTACACAACGTAGCAGAACATAACAATAAACATATTGGAAACTGCTAGTGTTATGGATAAATACAGTTTCATTTGTGTTACTATAGTTAAATTTTGATTGTAGGAGCAATAACTGATGATGCTGTATTTTGCTACTGTGGGATTTTGATTCTGATTAATAAAGTGAAAGTGTCTATCTCTGCGGACATAGTTTTTTGTTGTTCTTGTTCTATCTCTTGCATAAAAAAATTAGTGGGCCACAGAATTTCTTTGCAACGAAAATGAGCCATGAAAGAAAAAAGGTTGAGAACCACTGGTCTATAAGCCATCCTGTGATAAAAACATGAGTATTCTGTAATATTTTAGATATATCTCCTCATTAATATTTTTCAGTAATTTGACATTCTTGGTTGGTTATAAGAGAATGATCATTTGCTGAATAGAAAGTAAACAGCCTGTTAAAGACATTCTGTAATATTGCAAATGAGTATTTTGTGCACCAAACATTGCTTCAATAAAAATGGTATTCAAGAAAGAAGTTATATCATGCCATATCCCTCTAAAATACTGTATATATCATAGAAAATTATATATGGATGGAAGATGCTTGTACGTGGTATATATAAAATTTCAAATTAGTATGTGTTAATTATAATTGTATTTGTTGGGAAAGACTTGAAAACTTTACTATACATAAATAATACCACACTTTATAATTTTTTTGGGACTATGTCCTAAATTACATTGTAATGACATAATATGCGTTTTAGAATTCAATTATGACAATACTAATTCACATATTGAGCTAGTCAAAGACTGCATTAGTGGAAAGGAATTGATTACCGTGTTTGAGTTGGATCCAAACGATACATCAAAGGACTTAGACTTTGCTATACTAGATGCTGTTTTACGTAAGATTTTATGTTTTTGTAGTTTAAACCAGATCTGTCATTCATGACTATTTATCAGTGTGCTAGTTTCGAATGTTTCATTCATTATTTTTACCCATATTGTATGTTAACCTTTATTGTTTTAAATCAGTTTCATTATGTCCTGATATCGATAGCACCTAACAATACATATGTCTCGTCTTGTATGTATATAAAAGCAGTTATAAATGAGTTACATCCTGTATGATCAAAGATTCAAACCTGCAACCCATCATTCAGTGTGTGACAGTCATAAACATTATGCCCCGGAAACTGTGGTGTTTGGTTCAAGATTGAATCAGGCATTGCATTTAAGCAATATTCAAATTATCATAAATTTCAGCTCATTCATTTTCATCCTCATGGTTTTATTTTTTTTAAATCCTGGAAGTCATTTTTTGGTACTCCTGAAGTATGCGCACCAAGATGTCGCATAACCTGAACCCTAACCTGGTGCGCATACTACAGGAGGTCCCATTTTTTTATTTGCAATAACAAAACAGGGCTTCATATGGATACCAATTAGTCAAAATATAGGCAAATGACTGGCAAAAAATTCAGGTTCATTGTATTATTAAATTTTCGAATGTCACTTCGAATTTTTGGCACTCAAGTCATTTGTCTGTCTCCCTCATGCCACTTATACATATATTTATCAGTATTCAGAATAAAGATTTGTCCCAATGTTGATTGGGCATCCAACATGTTACCTTGATATTGTTTTTTGAAATGTTAATCGTAAATGAAAGAATTAAGTCGTTAATGGTTTCCTTGCAGGAAAAAAAGAAAATGACGTTAACAAAAATTTAGACCTGGCTGTTGCTTGGAACAGGAGTGATTATGCTAAATCTCATATACTTAATGATGGTTTTGAAAAAGGGAAATTTACTGAAATCTTCATGGGATCTGTCTTACTAAATGTATGTTATTGAATTGAATATTTTTCAAGTGTCAGTCGATTCATTCCAATTTTTTATTAAACAAAATAAAAAAAGTCAAAGATGGGAATTATTATAAATATTTTTCAGGATAAGCATGAATTTTGCAAAGTTCTCCTTGATTATGGCGTTAATTTGAAACATGTTGAAATTAAAAAGATTGTTGACTTGTACAAAAAGGATCTGGAATCATCTAGAAAATTTGGAGTTTCGGGACCACAGTTCAGAAATTTTAATATGTCGGATGTGGGAAAGTATGGAATACATTTCGGGATATAGAAGTCCAATAAATTGAGCTGAAAGCGAAAAAAATATTCGATCAAGTTAAATAACTGTGATTCTCCAATGCGTATTAAAAATAACTAATTTCAGTAGCCATTTTCATTAATGTAAAATCTGTGAAACATGCATTTATCATGCAGGGGTCAATGATATTTTGATTGTGAGAACAGTGACATTTTATCTTTAGGAGTGTAAAAATATTGCTCAATGTTTTTTTAAATGTTTAGAAGAATGGCTGGTTTATTTGGTACCTCTTATGCTTCTATGTACCAGGAGGGAAATGTGAGTATTGGACATTAAACGTGAGTGGTTAGGCAATTACTTATGCATAGATCAGCAGAGATGTTAGAATATATTCAGAAAGGCGTCATCAGATATAAGTTGTTGCAAAACTTAAAGGCAGTATGACAACAATCCATCTCCATCTTTTCACACCGGAACCTGTGATATGGACGTGCCATAAACTGACTATTGTACATATCGTCGTTGTGCCGTACCTCTTTGTCTTGTGTATTTTACTAGAGTTTAATTTGTATAGTCAATTTCATGTCTGTTATCCTAGTATAACGCAGCAGTTCTAAACTGCTGTTATTATTGTTAGGGGTGCATGTCGCACATCTGTGTCTTAGGCCAGTAAGGTCTTGAACATGTATCCCGTCTCTGTTTTACTGTTTAATTATTATGCAGATACTGTTACATTTTATAGGCAAATAAACATACATACATATATACAAACGAAAGTAGCAGCAGTTTTTGAAAATGTCCCGGCACAGAAACCCTGCTGACAAGAAATAAACTTTCTTCCTGGCATTGTTCTAGTAAATTTATTTGTTTTTAATTTTGAGTAACTCACCACTTGTGATTGCTACAGAGGTGGGAAATATTTTGACCTTTATTATTTTTTAAAACTTTTAAAACAATTTGAATCTTTATAGGGAATTTGTTTATAAATTTATTTTTATACTATTTACTAGGCAGAACCTGCGGAAAAGTATTTCGATCCCTACATGGAAATATTCCGGTGGGCTTTGTTGTTCAATCACAGAGAAATTGCTAAATATATCTGGGAATACATGCATGAATCAATGGCTGCTGCTGTTATGGCAACCAAAATATTGAAGGCACTAGCTTCTACAGAATCAAACTATGAAGTGGTAATGAAAATATTTGATTACCGACTATTATGATACTGATGATAGGACGTACAAGTCACATGCGAATATTGTTTCAATATCATTGTGTTGATTTAAGTTTCTGCTTTGATAAATGTTTAACAGCGAATATTTGAAAGGCCTATCATCAGGGTATTATTGAGCTATTGATTGACTTCTTCTCAATGTTGTCTCTTTCTTTATCTTTCCAACAGTTCTATGCAAGCCCCAACTTGAAATATGATCTATTAATTATTAATTCATCATTATTCAATTACCCCATTTACTTTTATGACAGTTCCTCAAGGACATTTAATCATTTCCATGATAAATTGTTTTGATACTTGAATTTATCTTAGGGTGTTTGATAAAGGACTTGATAAAGAATTAACACCTGGCACAAGATGACCGTAAATGTCATTTGAAATCTTTGTTCATGAAAATATCCCAAATGTTGTCTTTTTCTGCTCTACGTTTAGTGGCCAATCGATTTGAAAGAAATTGAAAATGAGACTATCGGAAGTGGTGATTAAATGATAAATTACCTCTGGAAACATTCTATGCCTAAGATCCAATGCAATAACTTCTTTAACTTTGGGGGAGGCCCAAGGTGCTGTGAAAGCAGTTTTCTTAATGCAAACCAGGAATTTCAATTTTTTGGGGGAAATATGGAAATAGGAAAATTGTTGAGAATAGGAGAAAAACAGTAAAACGTTCTAGATGGTGATCGATTGCTTAAAAAACAAAATTCATTGTGTCCCTTCATATTTAAAACATGCTCATGCTCTGGTCACAGTCAAATAATTATAAGTTGTCTATGTTAGGCGTTTACCAAGCTTCATCTGATGTCAAAATTGTTTGGATATACATAGTCATAGTCAAGTTTATTTTTTCCCATTCAGTAAAAAATAACATACGAAATTAACAAAATACAAAACTCAAAACACATTTTTACTTGGGAAGGGAAGTCGCGGGGTACCAAGAATGGTTATCGAGCAGCGACACCCGGAAGTATACCAATATGTGAAACAATACAAAATGTGAAAAAACTTGAACAAATACAAAAATTGTATATGATATATATTACAGAAAAATCAAATGTTAGCTGATGCTGACGAATATGAAAGACATGCTGTAATAATTTTAGGAAAATTATTTGCTGACGATGAAAGCAAAGCAATTGATTTACTCAAGACAAGCTTACCTAGATGGGGCAGATTGAACTGCTTACATGTTGCCTTTGAGGCGAAAGATAAGGTATAGAATGTGTGATCAGAATATACCAGTACTCAGTTTGGAATGAATGTGCATTAATTTTATCAAGTTATTTATATGCAGTGTAATATATTCACATTCAGGCATTTATTTCACATCCTGCAGTTCAGTTTTACCTTGATCAAATCTGGTCTGAAGGATTAATGAAAGAGAAAGAAAGCAACCGAGATGCATGTTCAACTGAGTTTGGTCAGTTGAATAAATATTTCCAGCAAATAAAATATTATGTATAGAATATAAGTTGATACTTAATGCAACAACAGAATTGAAAAGCATTTTGATCATGTCGTACATACCTCAAATAGGTTTTTCAATATGAATTTGGATATGTTATATAGATTATAGAACATTTGAATTATTTCATGCCTGTTTAAAATTGCAGGCAATTCACAATCTGGTGGCAGTTCAAATAATTTATGCAAACAGATAGTTGAATTTCGAATTACTCCTGTAAGGACATTTCGGTTAAATATTGGGTTTTATTTGGTAAGTTTTGTATTTCTCTTATGAAGTTATCTGAGTAAAAAAGATAGCCTATGACAAACAGGACTCTGTCTTTAATATGTCACAGATAGTTTTTGACCAAATCCGGAGTTTTATAAATCAAATTTAGACCACAGTACTGATATTCAATAAAACATTGTCCGTGACAAATATTATTCCGAATCAATTTCTAATTTCTTCATTGATGTATATTTGAATATCTTGTCTTGTTCAAGTTATTTCAATTTTGTGTTGGAAATGTGCATTGATTTCTTGCTACTTTCCACATTTTCATGATACTGACAATTTTATCATTCATGATACTCATGACTGTGCCAAATTATTTTAAATTAACGACAAGATTTTTTTGTATTTTTCTCAAGATATATCTCATATTATTTTCCGCTGTAATATTGAGCAGTTTTGATGTAACACCATCTACACCGGAAATAGTACTGGATGTGTGGGCAACAATAATGATGTTTGATGAGATACGCGAAGTATGGTGACGTTAACATATCTTGGAGTAGTTTTTTTGTTTGTTTTTGCGAACCTGCTTTGGCAGTTATACAGACTTAACTGTTTGCTTACAGAAAATTCAAAATTATCCATTTTAAGACATAAGGCTGTGACTGCAACCGGTATGATTGCTATCACATCAATGATTTTCTCTTAAATTTTTATCACACAAATGCAATTGCCCTAATAACATAGTTATATAAAAAACTGAAATAAATGATAGATAAACATTGGATCGTGATTAATGATAATAAACTGCAAATAAAAAACTTCGAATCAATTTTATCTGTAGGTCATAGGAATTGGAGCGGGTAACTTTACTGGCAAAGATCAGCATTACTTTAAGGATCAATGGAATTATGCAGACATACTGAGTTTTCTACTGTTTTACATAGCATTCATTACAAGGCAAACTATTACAATTTATCATTTATTAATATTGGACCAAACCTTTGACCAAACTTATAAATTCGAGTCTGAACCTTATTTTCTATTTTATGAGATTATCTCATAAATGTAAATTAAACGAAACTTAAAGTCAGAATAATTTAAAGCTTTTAAAAAGCTTTGAACTGAAAAGTATGTTCTTTCTAAAAAGTATTTCTTACAAAACCTGTTATTCATAACTTATTTTTAGATGGTTTGGATGCAGTGATTGTTTGTATGTAGCACTTACTTTGTATTGTATCTCGTTTATGATACAATGTGTACGGATCATCCACATTTTTGCTGTCAACAGTACGCTTGGACCAAAAATAATCATGGTTAAAAAAATGGTAATTCTGATCTAAAATGATTTAAATAGAGCTAGTTTAGTATAGTGTAAACAAATTTTCTTCCAAATTTTTTCATATATTATACAAGTTTGCATCAAAAAATACCTTGTACTGTATAATGATTTGCTGTTGTCAGACATTTTTAATTTTAGAGAGAAACATGTTACCTTTCGAATATCCGTATACAATTTATTGTTTGCGTCATTGGTTTTAATTTGAATTGCTACACTCAAACTATTGAAAACACCTTATATCTGAAATTTGAACTATTTACTGCAACAAAGATTATGGAATGAAATTGCTTCCTGATTTATTTTTGCTTTTATTATTTTTGGCAATACACGGAGAAAAGCAAGTTCTTTTTTTGAATAGCATTTATTGTCTAGATAAAAGATCTGCTGACTTTCCTGTTTATACTTGCTGTGTTTTTGTTGGCATATGGAGTTGCCAGTCAAGCTCTTCTTTATCCAAACGAAACAGATTTTGCTCAGATAATTGTCGGAATAATTTACAAACCTTATTGGCAAATATATGGTGAACTATTCTTGGATGAAATTAACTACAATCCGAGTAAGTTTTACATTTTATTATGCTTAACTGCGAACCAAGTAAGTGGTATAAATTTACTTTGTACCGACAATGAATAATGATTTGTATATATCAGGGGTAGCCCAGTGATTTCCCTACACCCCCCTATAGGGGGTGAACACCCCCCCCTAAAATTTCAAATATCCCCCCCTAATTTTGAGGTGCGATTCTACACTGAGGGGTTCTAAACCGCAGTCTGCGGGCCAATTACGGCCCGCGTGACGATTCAAAATGGCCCGCCGAACTTGAGTGAAATAGTTTAACCCTCCATGTGGTACCTTTTGAGTTTAGATACCGTCTATTGTTACATCATTATCACAGTTTAAGCACGTTTATTTCGTAACAATTGGATTATTCCGGTATCTTATGTATACGTATGGGTATTAGGATTACACACTGCAGTATTTTAGATATCAGCCGTATATTAAGAAAGCTTAAAGATGTCACAAAACGAAAACCAGGCACTGAAAACAGACGTTATTTAGATGAATGACAGCGTTTTTATTTCTTTATTGAAAAGAATCAAACTTCAGCGATTTGTCAGCGAAAATTAGAAATGTGTAACAAAACAAGCCATTCATACAATGCCAGACGAGCAAGTAACTTCATTAGTCACTATCAGTTGCAAATTACTTGTTGAAACGTAGTAGTATATATTTACGGTTGAAAGCCGTGCTTGTTATCTATTCCCCGGGAATTCTATCAGCTAAATATTATAATTATTGATTTCATTACATAACAAACTGCGATGCTGGGTGTATCTAAAATCAAGCTTAGAGCCTATTTTGGTGCCTATTTCTCAAAATTTTTGAGAAATAACCCCAGCCGTGTCGTCCCGCACTTTTCCTCGCTCCCCTTTTCTGGCACTACAATTCCATTCTGCTGTGGATTTTGGCTCGCGTCAATCAACTTGGGGGGCCCGTGTACATTGTTTCCATACCATTTTTTAAGAATACAAATAGCCTAGTTTTATCTCTAATAGCAAATTATTTACCACCCCCTAAATTTTGAAACACCTCCTCTAAAAAGAAAAGCTTGGGAACATACTGGGGGTAGCCAACCAGTCTTTGACTCAGATCGACTAAATTATTCGCAATATCTGACGATCGACAATGAAATCATACACAATAATGAATGAGTACTAGATTTTGAACTGAACATCAATGAAGATGTTCCCGCTTCAAACACCAGACACTAGAGCTGCTTGTGGATATGAGAATCTCAATGATCCCCTGTCTTACCTAGTCTACCCTACCTAGATTGTAAGCTGCGGAGCTAGATATATAATAATAACAATAAACAATAATTTCCAATGGAAATGTAACTCCTGATAGAATTTGTCGCATTCTGCTTCGCCAGATTGTGTCGGAAATTTTCGACAGGAAGGTTTAGGTTTTAGCTGAAGTATTTATTGTCTTGAACTTAAAACCCCCCCATGGGATTGCTCATATAGAATAAAACCCCTCTCCTTTTGGCCACACAAGAAGCCGTTGTTTAATGTTCATGTTTGAATGAGCGATGTTTGAATATTGGTTGAACACAAATTCCTACCAGGTTTGTCGGTAAGTCGCGATCAGGTGAGATTGACCACTCAAGACTGGTGACTATGTTGGCCACTCCTGGTGAAATTATTGATGAATGAAAGAAGTGAACTATTTTTACAGATTTACATATAGTTTAATGCTTTACTTTACACTGTAGCTTAAGCAAGATTTTGAGCCATACACATTATTGCGGACACGCTTTTCTTGTTAAGATCTTGGATCTCTAACTTGCAATGATACAGACAACGACCTCCCACGATGTCCTCATGAGTCTGTAGTCGTTCCAATATTATCAGCAGTGTACCTGTTTTTTGCAAATATTCTTCTTCTCAATTTGCTCATCGCTATGTTTAGGTGAGTAAATCTGCAGTGTTTTGAAAAAGTGTGGTGTCCCACTTGTTCCACACATTTCTCTTACACATTTTGACTCATTTGTTACAACACTCATGACTCATACATATGAATGGGATTCAAGTTTTATCTGGGTTTGGATAAATAAAACACAAGACTTAGCCGTGAGGTGGTTCACTCAACTGCTGGTCGATTACGGCTTCCTCCAGCACTAAGTCGGTGCATCTGAAACAACTGGCTATTACAACTAATACCAAATAGACTAGTATTTGATGAGAGGCCGTAGTTCACCATATAGTTAAGCCTACTTATTTGCTTTCCTCTTGCCGGGTTGCTTACTATCCTATTAAACTGAATGATCAAATAAATTTTAGGAGGAAATTCTGCAATGCATGATTTGGGCTAACAATATCAGAATTTTTAATATCTCAATATTTCAATTTCCTGTACATTTTACTGTAGATATTGTTTCGCTGGTTACCAAAATTGACACTCCAATCCTGATAATTGGCAATATCCAAATATTCTACTAGAATATGATTTAACATGGTACGCAACTATCACTATCTTGTTGAACTAATAACTCGAATATGCATATTGATATCAAAGTAGATATTTCAATAATATCCAAATGAATACAACATCACTTATTATCCTTACAGTTACACATTTGATAAAGTTCAAAGTCAAGGAAAAGAAGTATGGATGTTTCAACGATACAGTCTGATTGTTGATTATTGTAATCGCCCTCCATTGCCGCCACCACTTGTCATTTTTTGTCATATATATTATGCATATCAATATTTGAAATGTTATTGTAAGAAACAAGAACGAGGTTGGTTTCAACAATTTGTAAAATTTAATCACAATAATTTCCAATAAAATATTATAACTGGACAGTTCAGGATGCAATATCTCAACTATCGATGATAACATATTCGTGATATCCTTCAAATTTGCTGTGCCTGTAAATCTGTATCATACACTCTATAGTCCAGGGTGGTCCAAGGTTGCGAGGTTGGAGGGCCGCAAAAACTTTCGAGGAGATCTCGCGGGCCGCAGTCGGAGAAAACCCCAAAGTTATCAAAACATCGAGAGTTTACTCTCCTCAAAAGTCAAATATATTTAAAAATGAGACATTATCGTTCTAATCAGTTTTTCAAGGAAACTATATAAAGCCCTTAAGTATTTTAAAATGCTTCCCGAGAAATATCGTGGTATTTTCGGTATCATTTCTCGTGTTTGGTTTTGTGATGTCGCTTGAAATTATATTCTTTCGTGACGGATATTCTTTGAAAACACACCAGACCCTGTGGTTAACGTTTTTGTGCTCAAGGAAATACGTTTTCTTTCAGTTTACTTCGGCCACCTTTTTCTACACTCATTGTATGATGAATTGTAATATTTGAAAACATTTATTACTTGTAGCGTGAGCAGGCCTAGTGCTACCGTCAAAAAAGTCCGTCTAGGTTGGGACCTCGGATCCATATATAAATAAAATGGATCGCGCGGCGCTAAGTCAGCTCTGTGATTCGTCACTGCTGTCACATGGCCAACAAATGAAAATAGAGGAGTGTTTTGACTAAAATAAAGGCACAAAACGTTTTTTCAAATGATGAGCTCATCTCATCGGCTTGGTCCTGTCTGCACAAGACAATCCATTCTTATTTTACCGATCACAGGACGTCATTTCCATTTAGACACTGTCTTGACGTTAATAGAAACAATAATGAAATTCCGTGATTTCCCAAACATCAATCCAAACATCGGGATTAGGAAAAGGACTATTCCCAGTTGGAATAGTTTGAAAATAAATCGAAATTGTTCTGCTAATAAATACAAATATCTGCCAATGGTTTAGTAGCGTACGCTAAAATTGTTCTGGGCCGCAGTTTGGACCACCCTGCTCTATACAATGTACATTATCATACACACTATACTTGCAAAAACATCGTATTTAATTAAAGTAGGCCTACTTGAAACTGGAAAACATTATTAACAGACTATTAGTCCTATTCTCTTCAAATTCTTTCGGACTCTTACAGAGACAATATTTACCCAGAATTTTGCTTTTTTATTTTATTCATTCTATGGAATCTGGTACAATATTTTTATCATTTTGCTCGAATTTTTGCTGATATTGCATTTTATGTTTATGTCTTAGGCAGGGGTTCTCAAACGTTTGGTGTTACGGAGCCCTGAAGAGGTTGACTATTATTCATGAAGCCCCACAATAAATTTCAAAATTGTTACTTACCGATTATATTCCTGAGTTAGGTAAAATTACTTAAATGGTGAACCGTTTGAATAGGGTTACAAGCCATGAATAAATCAAAATTTCACAGATAAATTATTTATATTAAGGCTGTAAATCAAACTAATATCTTAATCAAACTACCGGAACCGGTAGTTGGTATGTTTATTTGTGGGCAATACGATATTTCTTATGATGTCTTATAACAGCGTTGTTCAGGATATGCGATTGTCCGACTTTGCTTCATTTTTCCTCATTTCATGCCGCGAATGGCCGCAGTAATTCTGTGTAGTAATAATTTTATATTGTCGTTAAGTCGACGCAACCGCAGGTTACATTGAACACAATTAAGCCATAAACAAGGAATCTTGAATATTATCGCTTCGGCCATGAATTGCACAATTGTAAGTTGTACTCCTCGAGATTTAACGCCGACATTAGGGTTTGCTTAAAATGATCATCAGTGCTGAAAGAACAAATCTGCTGAAAATTTTTTTTTTTCAACGAGTGGCCTAATCGCGAATGTTGCGCGGGATTTTCCGATTTTAATTTTGAACCCCCTCTCCCTTTTAAAAATCCTGACTGCGCTCCTGCTTATAGATAATATCACATTTGAATTACCGCCTCGTTGCGATATTTCGACGCTACTGTTGTCAAATTTTATTAATACTGTTATTGCTTCTTTGGACAGTTGCAAAATTAGCCAAGTAAGTATTTTGACAAGTAATCGAATAGCTCGCAAAGCCCTTAGGTTTCTCTCACGGAGCCCTGGGGCTCCGTGCGGAGCACTTTGAGAACCTATATGTTAAAGCATTGCTCTCTTGGTTTTTGAAATTATAGCAGTACCGCATCTGTTACATTAAAAATATTAGGTAATTTTGAATTCTATGGTAATTGATATGGAAATGTTCATCCACTGAAATTTGTGGGTACTGTTCAGTCTCATTTCAGGCGAAAATTTTAATATCCTTCAATAGAAAGACTGTCAATTCTATAAGTAAAACTTATTTTAGAAAATGGAGCGAACGAAAAATATGAGGAACTACGTAAGTGGGAACATTGGTTTGCTGAAGAATACATTGATGAAACACGTAAAGCAGCTGATTCAGCAATAGATAAAAAGATAGAAAAATTAAGTGAAAGGTAAGTAAATGTTGACATTATGACATTGTGTTCTGTTTTTGATATGTCAAACCAAGAGGATTAAAACCATTATATACTCATAGATGCCAATAATAAAATTTGAAAAGGAAGGTATCAGCATGCAAAGGTGTGATACAATCTTAGTAAGATATTTGTGGCCTACCAACCCTTCCCAAACTTAATTCAGGTCATTTTTCGACACTTTTTTCCCGAAACTAATTTTGCACATTCATTTATTAGAATTGAATCAAATACTCATAAGCTTGACGACATTTTGTCAACAATTTTTAACCTTCAAGATATGATGCAAAAGTCACACAGAAACGGTAAGAATATAAACAGATTTTCCTAACTGTTTATATAGTTTGAGGCTAACATCATTGTAAGTTTCTTTACTTTTAGGATGCAGGTATTTAAAGAATTAAATCATACATATTTTAGTATATATTAAAATTACTACTGCTACCGCATTTTCTGTTTAATGAATATTCACACTTAACCTCTTGTAAAAATCATAGAGGATATGCCACGAGACTTAGCTGGTGATTCTTGTGCACAAAATGGATGGTTTATGAAAAGTTTTCATTTTTGTAGTTCTTGTTATAGACGTTGGTACAAAAAGCCACTTTTCTCCACTCAAACTAAAGTAGTCAACAGTGTTTAACTATTGTTTTTATATTTATTCATGCCTCATTGTTTCTCTTCAAAATTCTAATGATTTTAAAACAATTCTTCATTTTTCTATTATTTATTTTGCCCGGACTGGTTTACACAATCAATATACCAGTGCCACGGGTCCAATCGGTGTCATCTATAGGCATTGTTGAATTATAACATACGAAACCCATGCGAGCAGGTGGAGAAAAAGACGCGAAACTAAATATATATAGTCAATCATATTATAATATTTCCATGATAATTAGAAAATACTCCCTTATTCATCCTTAACATGGAGTAATCATACAACATCGAAATTAATTCCATATACCTCGCTTTTAGAGATTTATTGTACTTTTTCAGCCAAATGAAGAAGCCGATTGGGCAAATTAGATGCAACGGGACAGTAGCTTGACTATCTTCATCTCACAGCATGTTTCTATAAAACATAACAAGCCTCACTTCTAAAAGCTCAATGTTGAGAGCCTGAATTTGTACAAGATTAGCAATATACCAGGCCTATGGCTAATGATGTTTAACTTTTATTTTTTATTTACATTGGTGTATGGAGTGTATAGAATTAATTTCAGATTTATATCCCCAAGTGAAATGATTGACTGATATTCTTCCTCCTGGGCAAAACAATGGAAAATCTTGCAAATCACAATTGTCATAATCTATTACCTACCGATATATATTTCTGCTAGATATCACCAGTTTAATATACATAAGCAATCAAATTTTATTATCATTATTGGCAATGTAGTGATGCTTCGATTCAATTCAAGTCCATATTAAATGGTTTTAAAAATAAAATACTAGTGTTTATCAAGCCATCATTATCACTTTAGTATTTCAACTCCGAAAGGAAATGGATATGACAAAAATTTCGATATCGATGGTTCAGAGAGGGAAGGTGATGACTTAATCAGGCAATGGACAATATCTTCAATTTGTCATGCGCTAAATCGTGGATAAACGCAAACCTTCCAAAAAATAAAAATAAATATTAAAATTATACGCAACACATTTAAAACAAATTCATCCATTCTCAGAACTAAACGAATATGAATAAATAATAGGGTGGTGGGTTGGTCAGATGGAACTTTTATAATAATGTCTTGCAATCAGGAATTATATGGGAATGGATTTCGTGAATGGATTCGTATTTGTTATACTCATAAATGTTTCTCGAACATCGACCTCTTTGTTTATTCCCGTGTCGATGATCAATCAGCAATTAGTAAAGAGTTTTTTCATATATGGGTGTAAACGATGGCTTTGTTCGTGGTTTTGTTAGCTTTTTCAGCTTTGAGTTATGTTTCCGAAATTTGGCTATAAATCAAATACCTCAAGGACCCCAAAACACTAAGACTAGCCAAATGCAAGCTATCAATACTTTTAAATGGCAGGGATAAATATTTTGAATGAAAACGGTGATTATAAACATGTATGACAGTTTGTAAAGGTCAAATGACGAAAATATTCCCAAATGACTATCAAGAATTTTGCGATGAAGGCGAAGGTTAGTTCCACGTGAATTCGAAGAAAGGTGTGACCGAAATAACTTGTATATATATATACATTATGATTTTAATAGCAACAAACACGAAGCCGATGTGTTTTTTCACCAGTCACTCGACTAGAATTCTTTGTGAAAAAAATTTCATATTATTAGCTGTTTCATCAATTCATCGGGCACGAACTGTTAATTCGAATCGTCTTGATAAACTGTTGGAATTATTGCAGCGATAAAAATAAAATTCTGCGTAACTAATTGATTTTAATCAGTCAGAATTTAGTACTTGAAGATGTTTGTAGCCGCTGGAAGGTAATCACTTTTTTTTCAAATCTTCGCATGTAATCTGATATTTTGTTGTTTTGTTTTAATTCATGGGAACACTTTAGTTTAATATATATATATATTTAGGGTTACAATATTTTTGTGATCTCAAAGCGGGACGCCTCCAAAGACCATTAGGTGATTTTTGCACCTAATTTATACATTGGGGGCATACACTTGAAACCATCCCGACCGTCTATATTGATCATATTGTAATCGAAAGTTCGTGCGCTGTCTGTCTAAATATCGGTTTCAGTTCGAAAAATAGAAATATATTTACGTTAACGTTAAGCACCCTTTTGGCGTACGGGGCTTACACGTACCAAAATGTAGAAATTATCCGCTAACAAAACAACGAAACAAACAAAACTACGCAAACACCTTCAGTAAGAAGGCTAACGGTACGCTACACAGCAACAACAGTATCAAGAACATTTTAATTGGTATTGTTCGTGTATTATGCTGACTGATTGAACGCCAAAACGGGACAATTGGCTGACCTGTTGGGACACCGGGACAAGACGCTGAAAAGCGGGACTATCCCGCCTGAAGCGGGACGTATGGTAAGCCTAAATATATATGACATTTCACATCGGATGATTATTGCGTTTTTACCCGGGATGAAATTACAGTATTCATATTACTCGTGTGTTTTTCGATCCCACTCATTTTCCTCTCAAAGCAGGGGTCGGCAACCTTTTGTCGCTTGCGTATTAAGTGTTGCAAGTTTTGGAGGGCCGCAAATATTTTTAGAAAGTTAAAAACCGAACGGATGGCCGATGAATCATATTTTTTCACTCAGGTCAGAAACTGAAATTTTAAGCAGCCCGCGAAGACTGCACAACTCGTGAACTCAACTTAGTCGTCTTACCTAATATTTTTTACAAATTACATTTAATGTGACACTTTTTGTTGTGTCACGCTTGATACGTTTTCAAAATCAGGCGGCACGCTTTATCAAGCCAAATTAAAACATGTACTATATGGGAATCACTAACCGGAGTTTTCAGCTTGTTCTTTGTAATGAACATCTTCAAAAATAATTGTTCGCACCCATATGCACTCCCAACCATCGATGTGAATTTTTTTGCATAGTTTGTCGAATTTGCACAGTTTTCCTTCAAGAAGATACTTTTTTATAAAAATCTGGCTGTGGTACATCTTCCGAATGGAATATAGATTATTTCCTCATTGCATTACATATTTCATTAGGAAAAAATTCCATTTGAATATTTTCTGCGCCATTTGCACTTAGCATCAACTTTTCTGCGTTTTGTTGCCATTTGTCTCATTAAACGAGTAACTGTGAATTACATACTTGTGAGGATACAATAAAATTTACTCTACATGCGCCTCACAATAAATTCTGTTGTGTAAAGAATATATATAATCGTCAGAACAGCAGTTTTGTTACTATAATTCAGTGAAGCGTCGCGGGCCGGATTATTTTACTCCGAGGGCCAGCGGACCTGGCTCGCGGCCCGTAGGTTTCCGACATGTCTTAAGAATCGCTATACACACGTACTGCGCTGTCGGAGTTATCCAAGGCATTTAAGCGCACATTTTCATCTATCTCGACTGGTTCATTTGGAGAAAGAATTATTGATATCAAGTCAGGGAACATCCGGTTTTCAGTAAATTGTTCAAGAATAGAGTAAATGGTGTTGAAAAAGGCGTATGAATTTATGTCCAACTGCAAATGACGCAAAATTAAATTAAAAAAAATGTTGAATGTCATTGCCCCTTAGGCTCCCACTACCTATTGAAACCAAAACGTTTTACAAATTTTAGTACATTCGTTTTACTATTAGGATTGGTGTATGCCAAAAAATACTTGGCTAATGGCTTTAACTTCATCTATGAATCCTAAATTGTTGCTTGAACAATAAAAATGCAACACTACTGACCAAAAGATTTTTTGAAAATTGCAACATTATAGAGTCTATATCTTATCCCAAAAATAAGCTTCACTAAGTTGACAACAGTAATACAAAATTTATGACGCTTTAATACTAATTAGTAATCCAGAAAAAAAGTATCATTGATCAGATTAGAATACTGAATCAAAAAAGGAATAAATTGAACATAAGATGAATCAGCAGATATGGATAGGCAAGTAAGGCACTATGTAATGTACATATGTACCAACAAAAATATATTCTATATATTGATCTTCTTTTAATTGCACTTGATGAATTTGTATAGGAAAAAATAGTACAGAAAAATATTCAATAACAGAAGCAGTACAATGGTGATTAAATATATTCATTTATAACTTATTTTACCACTTGAAGGGAGATGAATCAAAAGTTCACTACAGTAAATAATATGATACCTTTCTCAAGAATTTGCTCTCAAACAACGTGGAGGTTTGAATAAGAATATAGAAATTAAAGCCGTGACAGTGACAGAGGTAAAATTTGTTACTTTGCATGCTTAAGCGACTTCAAAAAAAAAAAGGTCAAACCAATAATAAATTAGTCAGACCAAATTACTGCATGATTGCTAATCGCTTACGAAAGACTTCATAAACCGATGAAAATATAATTCAAACCTTAGGCCTAGTTTGTTTTTCACAAGTCCAATAAACATCAAACAAACAGTCTTTTTTTTTATTTGGATTTAAATAGTATGAATCTTTTTAAAATTCAACATTCTATCTTATTACTCAAGGACAAAATTCACCAAAACATTTGGGCATTTCTTTAAATGGCTTCAATTTCAAATTCTATTTAAATTGAACTCCTAGAAATCCTGTTAGTACAAGTATAAATACAAAGTATATATATATATATATATTAAAACACATGGTAGTGGTAAAAATGCAATATGAATGTTGTCCGCAATGCTACAGTAATATTAAATCATCATCAGCTCACGCATTTATTGAGACATCAGAATTACCATCCTCTGCTTCAATTTCATTGCCTAAAAATATTGAACTGATAAAAGTAAGTGATAAAGTTACCCAAAACTGTATATGATGAATTTAAATTTCAATGTAAAATGCATTTCGATTGATTTTACTATGAACTGTAAATAAAGTATCAGGTCACAAATTATGGATAGCATATCCAAAAATTTAGTTTTTGCAATAGTCAAGATCTATAAACAATCATAGAAAACATGATTTATTTATCGTTAAAATCGTTTTAACAGCAACATCTGCTAAAAGTAGTTTCAACGGGCTGGCTGATAAATGACAAAATAATACAAAATTTTATTTCCTCAATCTTGCAAGTACTTGATTGAATGTTATACTTTGCTATAAAACAACAAAGCAATTACTTCGAAAGAAACTTCAAACACACAAAAGAAAGATCGATCGTGAAATAAAATTAGTGACATGCTGCTTAAATATAATTTGCAACACAATCAAAATATTGTGGTGTTCAGTTTCAAATAGCTAGGCTCCCACTCAACACATCTACAATGAATCATAGCAATTTGACTAAAGATTTAAAAAGAAATATTCAAGTTTTGAAATCGAAATATACCTTGTGGCTCTGACATATCATTTTCTTTTGTGGTAAATGCATAAATCAAAAGGGCTAATGCACCAATAACTGCAATGGAGCCAACAACCCATCCCATTACAGCTCGAAAAAATTCTCCACAACGGTCACAATTACAACTAAAAAAAATAATCAAAAAAACATCAATTAACGCAAGCAACATGACAGTTAAGCATGATTCAGAAATAAACCATGATGTATTGTCACATTTTAATTATGGCCCAATAATTGTGTGTTAATTAAAGAATTTACCGATACCGCAGAAATTTCACACAAATTTGATTTTTTCCCTTTAGAGATTATCGATACCATCATTCAATACTTAATAACACCTGTAGCTGGAATAATTTCCCAGTTTCGACTTTGGAGTATAAGTCTTGTAATAAGTAATAAAGCAGGTGGAATAACAGAAAATCCTACAGCATAAAGCATAACATTCGAGAAAAAATTAATGCAAGTATTGCATGTCATACAGCTGTAACAAAATATGATATTTGTATTGCTTCATATGCAACATCTACACATACCCAATAAAGTTAATAGCAGTATTTACAACAACTGGCCTATTTGTAGCTTATGGAATTTGATGTGTTCTGAGTTAAGTTAGGATAGTAAGAAATTTATAGCGAAATAGGTTAGATTTTACGAAGTGGGAATCAAAACCAAAACAATGGTTTGCGTAATCCAACGGTGCACAACCTGCGGCCGGCGTGAAAAAATAATGCGGCCGTCCACATACAAAATCATATAAACAAGAAAGTTCAAAATATTGGATTTGGCGGCTATGTTGGCGTATATTGAAGCAAAACAGAAGCACTGCAAAAAAGTCAAACGACACGATTCGTCACAATCTGGATGGGGTATTTGATATTGGGGATTTCCCTTCACGGTTCAGTTTGATCACACGTTTGTGCAACCTCTATGCAACTTGCTGCAATATATCTGCTCAAGAATAGGTCCACCGAAAAGTGAAATCCGTTTAAAATGCGAATATTATACTTCCAAGTAGTCCTACATACTTCATAATTGGGCAGACTGCATCTCGCATGGGTCAAATACGCGGCTATGACGTCATAAAACCCAAAAATAATTTTCGCACTGGAGGCCGTATTGAATACAAATAAATGCAATGTGGCCGGCTGGCCGCCAATAGCAAAAAGGTTGTGCACCCCTGGCGTAAACAGTTCACCATCAGAAGATACCGACATAAACCTGAGAAGTATTTCATTTTTAATCAAAACAACTTCCAATACACTATATATTGAATAGAAATACTTACTAGCATGGATTCAAATTTTGTATTACTGCTATTGCAATTCCATTTGAAAGTTTATCAGTAAGACTCATAGAACCATACACGAATGCTCCAGTTTCCTGAAAAAAGTTTCAACCAATCTTAAATTTATAAAAGCCAAATATGTGTTATGAGACATTTGAAAAGCATGAATTCATATCAAGGATGGTCAATATCGAATAATCTACTATTTCGAATATGAAATATTTATTATATTAATATTCCATTGTGTTTGAATTTGAGAAAGCAAGAAAACTGATGATCAGCAATTTGATTGGTACTTGGTTTTGTCAAATAAAAAACTATTCCAAGTTATTCCCTAATATCAAGAATATATTTAATTCGAACCGGCTCCCAATATTCGATGCATTATCTGCATAGAGATAGTTTTGTTTGAATATTGCGAACATTAACAAAGCTCACTAGGAAAAAAAATTCTGAAAGTGAAACATGGGAGAGTTTTCCAGATTTGGCAAATCAATATCTAAATGTGTAAAACTTATTATTTGGTAGTAAAAAACTAATGTATAGATATTGTCTTCAAAGAAATTAGCTAATAAATATGACATTGCATAATGCAAACCAATAATTACCGTATTTTGTCCAACAAGTTCTGAAAGCATTGAAAGACACATAACTAGAATTATTGTTGTTCCTAAGCCAAGCAAAACTGCAATGAAAAAAATGTCTCTCTTTGTTTCCTCTTCAAAAGCTTCCAAAAAATAGGACCATATACAAGCACCAAGTACTAATGCAGCCCCGATAAGATAAATAACCTGAAAAATATACAAAAAATTACTAAAAAATTGGGCAAAAATATACTAAACTTAAATTTGTCTGTTTAAACATTCAGCAGTGACATGTCATAATACTCTTGACCCCAATTCAAGTTGATTGGAATTTATCGACATAATCATGTTTAAACGACTTGGATGCTGGAAATTTTCTTAATACAAAATGGAATTGTATATCGTTAGAAACGATAACTATTGTGATTTGATAAATCATGCATTATATACATGAAGTTAGGTATTATAACTGTGTGATACTGATCACTCAAATGTTGTTGGTGTCTGGCAACCCAGTACACCCATCCATCATTAATTTATTTCCAAAAATAATTTTCAATGACTCCCAAAGAAAAGTTTAGAATAAAATGACAATATAAATGTACATTAAATTCATCAATTATGCAGAAAACTATTGACATAGGAATCTTTGCTCTCTGAATTGATTAGGCTATATTCCGGTACAATTTGATACCAAGTATTATTTCCTATTTCAAGATTACTTTTGATTCTTGTTTGTTTGATGCGTGACTAATATTTAAGTTATTCAGCACGTGGGGCAATAAACACAGGGAAGAATCGAACGGTATGTTTATCAATTTGCTATCAGGTGCTTCTATGAACACTTGAATTGCATATTTGCCGAATGACATAAAAGCACAAGACCAATACAAATAAGAGGTGGTATGCGTGAATATCAACCGATGGATGAATAAAATTTCTGTTTGGTCAGCAGAAGTCAAGGCATAACAGATTTGACAATCGATTCATAATCATGCCATATTATATCAGTGTTTCCCAACCCATCAGTGTTTTGGGTTGTGACCCAAAACTGGGTCGCTTGAAAATCATCTTAGGTCGCTTGTTTTTTAGAAAAAACTTAAAAGTGGCAGACTATAGCAACCAATTAATATAGCAAAGAAAGGGATGTATAGAATGTAAGCATCAATGCATTTCACTCAGCAATAAAGTAAAATTTGTGTGGAAGCAAGATGTGGAATATATCATAATATCAAATCAAACATTCACCACATTAAAATAGCTATATTTGACACTTTAAATTATTTTTTACAACATACTTCTTTGTAATCCAACTAATAAATGATGAGTTTCATGGCGTTTTTATGATAATTTATTTTAAAGAAACTAGGCAAACAACCATGATCTTGACACCACATAGATTGATTTGTATTTTAAATGCATACGGGGCTTCACAATAATCAGACAAATCGCAATAAATTTGAGCGCTGAGGCTGTTTGTCAAGTAACCTTTTCTGAGCAGTGATAAAATCCTCATAAAACCCCTTTTTGATATTCAAAATATACAAATACAATGCCAACCTAAAAATAAATATCATTATTAATGCCATTTCATGACAGTAACAGAACTTTTATTTCGAAAGCACCATACAATGAACCATAATTGACATGATGATATACAATTACGGTATATTTAAAACTGGGAAAATGTGAAATACATTAGATCTCCTTAATTTAAATAAACATAAAAATTTGATAAACAAATGAATACTCTTATCCAATAAAATGATATATAGAGCAGGGGTGTGCAACCTATGACACGAGCAGTGAGCAATTTAAGGGAAGTGCAGATCAGAGACTATAAAATTAGTAGGAACGGGCAATTGAAGCTTAGGCAATCAGAAAGCAGTTTGAAGAATTTCATCATCATATCAGTCGATTTTGTCTAAATCTATGTGTCTTAACTCACCATTTCTGCAAGGGAACCTAATAATGCCATAAGCCGGCCGTCGCGTGCGAAGATATGAATTCGAAAAGTATATCTCAGAATTAGTGACAAGAAACAAATTTTTGACTGATGGACTGGAAATGTGCAATGTACAAAATGGAAGATTTTTGAAGAAATAGTTAAGATAAGTTCAAACAAAATCATGCTTGGACTGCTCTGCTCAAAAATGTGACTGGATATACAAAATTTAAACTGCACGAACTGATATTTGAAAACTCACAACACAATCGATTTTTACATTTGTGTGTGAACGTTTTAGTAGATATTACTAGATATATTTTTGATTTTTGAGAATGGAACGAAAACATGCATTCGCACCTCGTTCTAGGATTTTTCGGATTGTTTGTTTACATGCCGCATCACGTGCACAGCGGGTATTTAGTTCACTGTTTTGTTTTTGAAAAATGACCGATGTCAATATTCATGTTTATTTGTTCGTTTTTGTGACTTGTTCTCTTTTTCTTTGATGAATGAATGCGTTTAACACGTTTTAAACCTTTTTTATTAGGTTTTGTAACTTTTGTTCACTTTCCAGATTCTTCGCCCTAATCTTTTGTGTATATATGTTTATTTTGTTTTCCGAATGAATCGAAAAATAATTTATCTATCTAAGATCAATAACAAAAAACACTATTTTTTGTTCCTGCAGGGCAACTACTAGAAAGCCTACGCTTTTTTCCAATTTTCCTTATTTTAATCCTATTATCAGTTCGAAGACTAGCCAAGAGCCTCCCGTAGTATTTATACCTAAAATTATGGCCTATCCCTAACCTAGTACACATATTACATTCCGATGTCCGCCATCTTGGTTCGCATACTTCGGGAGCCCCAGCAGTCCACCAAAACTCTTTTTTATAAGGTTTAGCTTCCACATTATTTAATGAATCTTAAGAGCATATTTTCAAGTACACAAAGTATCATTAAAACCAGATCAGAAAGTTAAAATCTTGATCAAAAATATGCGATACCATGGTTTTGTAAAATTACAAAATTGAGTTGGTCACGAATGAACTGACTGGTATTGATCTCCTGTCATTTAAATAAATGCTTATGTAATTAATTTTTTGCACACTCATGGTCACAAGACAAACTATGTTACCGGTATTTATTTATAAACTCTAGAAATTCTGTCTGATTTCAATTTATTGAAATAACAGCATCAATAAGGAAAGGAATCTATCTATCTGTGAAAGGCATTGATCTAATTCCAGGAACAATACTTTCATGCAGTGTTCACTATTAGCGCACTTTTTTGCGAAAATTGCGAAGCACTCTCGCAACTTTTTTTAGGGACTGCGAAATAGCACTTTTTTCCGATTTTGAAGAGAAATAGCACTTTTTTCCGATTTTGAATGGAATAAAAATTCAAAGTTAACAAATATTTTCGAGTATTAGGTTGACAAATAAGTAACATACTGGTACTTTTGTAACTCAATTCTGCATATCATAACGATATTTACCGGAATTCTAACCTATGAGATGCAGACATAGGAGATAAAGCTTTTGCATTAACGGCAAAATTCTTGTTTATAATATGATTATTATACAAGCACACGGATTCCGCTTCTCCCGGGGCGTTTCTTTGAACGAGAGTGGTCATGTGACTATCAATGATATCGATGAATTCAAAAAGACTATAAAAAGTGTTAGTAACATGTTATAGTCACTTTGGATGAATTGTGACCAAACTACACGATTTTCAAATCAGACGAAACTTTTAGCAGCATGTCACAGATTTGCAAAATCAACAAATTCACAAAATACCATTAAGTGCCATTTTATTGTAATCACAATGTTGAAAGGACGTGGCATTTTCTGGAATTTTGCGATATTTACACAACTATTTCTCATTGATATGCGAGGAGGGGTGGGCAAAATTCAATATTTTTTTAAATCGAATATTTTTAAGGAGTACCGAATAAACGTGGTGGAAACATTAAAAATCGGCAACAAAGCCTTTTTACTGGTTAATTCCGTTGTAATCGCTAATTGTTCTTGTCACCGATCGTTTTGGCGGCGATATCCAGGTTTTGGGTAATCTATATTCCCGCCCTCTCTTTTTTACAAATATATATATGAATTCTTGTGGGTCGGTGGACATCGAAGTTTTATATTTCGTGTTTACCCGTTCGTTCACATCGGCAACAAATTAACATTTGCGCTGGTTTTAATATTACCTATCAAGATTTGTAAATTTACCGTCCCAATTTTATGCGCATGGTAATATTATTGTCCATACCGTGATGCATATATTTATTAAGACGATAATTAACTTTCTCATGTATTTCTATGGTGATAAACTTCGCAAATCTGAAATTGTGCCAATCCTGAATGTTGATTTGAAATAGTGATTGAATAATTCGGCTATAAAGGCATTTCTGCGTGGTCATAAGACGAGATGACGTTAATGAACAGCACTTCTTTTACATGATATTTTACGTATGCGACTTAATGCTAAAAAGATTGGGCTCGAGTGCTTTTTTTTTCGAGTGCTCGAGTGCCTAATAGAGGTCAGGCGCTAATTGTAACTAATTCCCTCAAGTTTCAACATGTTTACAACAAAACAATACCCCGGCGATAATTATAGCTAAAATGTTACGGAGCAATTCACAATTTTATTTGTGGAATTTGCAAATTCACCAGTTTCTTGACGATTTTGATATTGTCACGCCCTAATTATTAGTGCAAAAAATACTCCCCTTCTTCAGCGGCGGTTTGACGGGTTCTCTGTTCCATTCTTCAGAAAATTCTGACACGGGGGATATAGAATACTGAATCCGGAGAGTTGAATCCCTGTCCACTTACTGGTGATTTTCCGTTTTGAAATGCGTGAAACATTCTCTATTTTAAATTAAATGACGTTTCGCGGGCTAGAGTTCTCCCCGAAAATGATGTGTTCCAGACGTTAGTTAGACGATAGATAAAACATTAAATTAATAATTTTTGTGATGCCCCGTTTTCGAAAATACAAAGTTATATCGCGTTATGCGTTATGATACATTTGGAATGAAACATTATTTACGGTGAATTCAGATCACATTTTACTCTCCATGACACCCGGTATCCGAAAATACAGTTGTATCTCGAAAAATGTGTTCTGTTACATTTAAAATAAAACATTTTTGCGATTAATTTAGATCATATTTTGCTTTTCACGACACCCGTTTCCGAAAATACAAGGTTATATCGCGAAAATGTGTTTTGTTACATTTAAAATAAAACATTTTTGCAATTAATTTAGATCAAATTTTACCTTTCACGGCAACCCGTTTCCGAAAATACAAAGTTATATCACAAAAAATGCGTTTTGTTACATTTATTTTGCACTCCCAATAAAATACATATTTTCCCTAATTAAGGTCGTCGATGAATCTGTTCCTGTCGTTCGAGCTCGACACACGTTTGGACGAGTGTGGGGCGGTTTTTTGATCGACGATAAATTAAAAAGTTGCCACACGTTATTTGTATAACGATAATAACTGAAAATTAATATTTTATAATAGAAGTGAATTTGTCTCAAGATGGTATTTTACGATTCCTGCCCACAGAAAATAAACACGCTGACAGGCTTGGTTATAATTGTTATTCGTTTAATTTATTTTACACTATTAATAAACGCGCCACACCAATTGCGACCATATAAATTGCAGTCGCATCGGTATGGACTGTATGTTTTTGGCGCTCTCAAATTAATAATAATTTTCAACAACAATTTGTTTACAATTTTAACATCCCGCCGGCCATGTATGGTCGAATAAAATGTTCACATATTCGAAACATGACTTGGCCAAGGATGGAAGGGATCACTAAAGAGCTAATAGAAAGTACATAGGCGAGGGTATGATATTAATATCGAGAATATTTGTGAGCATATCACAGGACGGAAATATTTTGCACCCAGCTGTTTGTTGGCAGAACAACGATACGCTAAAGTTAATTGATCGAATACAGGGAAGTATTTATTTATCATCTCACTTGCGAACATCGAGGTTTTGACGGAATTGTACGATCATGTTGTCTTTCTTAAATAATAACTTTTTCAATAAATGTTCATTTTACTTTTGCGTCTTTATTATATGTCTGGTTTTCATTTATTTTAAATTCGAAATTGTCCGAAATACTCCAACAGGTGTATAGGTACAATAATAATAGTACTTACCAAAGTACCTACCAGGGAAGTTTAATACACACGATGTGTAAAGGGCGTCGTAACTCCCGTTTATTAATTATAAATTTTTTTACATTCTGCTTAAAAAACAACGGCAGTCATCTCACGTAACTCTCGCGACCAAATCTTTTTTGTTTTGTATGGCATCGTCTTGGCGACGAATTTATTGCCGACTGAATTTTAATTGTGTTTTAGGTTAGTTATTTTCTGTTTGTTGGTTTCTAAACTTTACAAACTTGAGTAGCAATTACTATTAATGTGAGATTTGTGCATATCGCGACTGGATGTCCGATATCTGAGAATGCGTAATTCTCTTTCAACATTAATTTTCAGGATATCAGCGTTCATGTGGTCGAATAAAAATTATTTATCAAATAGCTTGGTATTTCGAGACACTCTCAAAATTATTTGGGATCCATTATCATATCATTCGTTTATTTTTTATATTCATGTTTTTCTCAAAAATCACCCTCGTTATATTTAGTGTACCTTCGCAAAAGAAAACTCTTTGATGTCATCGTTCCTATTAGTGTAATTGAAATATATGGAAACCTCGCAAGTGGCGTTGTGATGCGAATATTTGATACTAGGTCAGCAGCATTACAAAGTGTGCAATTTATGAATGCTGAAAGTACATGACATTACTAAACATTTTGCCAATATATGATGTTTTCTGCCCGATTTAAACAAACTCGCACGCAAACCAAGGCATGTGGACATTTAAAAATTACTTTGTCTTTGGGTAAGCTCTAAAATAGTATAATATAAATGTAAATGAGAAATTAGGTCACGCTAGCTCACGAAACTGGAAGATTTTCAAAGTGATCTTGTGTAATATTTCGGAGAAAAAAGTTTGAAAGGAAAGTAGGTCAACCTATCTCCTAAAACAGGGGAGTATCCTGCATAATATTTCGAGGGAAGGTAGGTTAACCTATCTTTTAAAACAGCGGGTGGCGACTTTCAAAGTGGTTCAAAATCACAAATTAATAATTATCAGATTAGGTTTGGGGATGAATCGAAAAGTTGAATTTCCAGCGCACCTAACCCTAATTAGTTGATTGCTATTTATATTTGGGGGGGGGGGTTATTATTTTGCACCGGATTTGTACAAACGATCCACCCTGTAACTAATATGGTTTCCAGCCAGCCTCGTGTCTGTTAGATGGAAGGAGTAACAAATGTGAAAGTCTTTGCTGTTTACGCGAGTAAGCAACTGTTACCATGATACATTGCATGAAAGTTTTGTCCGTGGCAGGTGTTAGCAGATGTCATTTCGTTGCCGATGAATTCGCTTGTTTTAATTAAACATGAATTCGCTTAAAGGGAACTCGGTTAACGAAAAGGCTTCTCTTTAATTCATAATATTAACCGGAGGAGCGCTTTTTCGAGTATCTATGCCGTTTTAAATGGGTTTTATGAAAGGCTAGGGCACCTAACTTGTTAAAATCGGCAAAAGCACTTTCGCACTTTTTTTTTGGACTGCGAAGCACTTTCGCACTCATAATTTGCTTAGAGTTAACACTGCTTTCATGGCAGATGTTAATAAAAAAAAAGTCACTTGAAAGTAATATTAATAATTGTGAGTAGCCTGTTCCAACATATTAATGTATATAGGCCTACCTATGTATATTGATAACATCCAAAAACCACTAAATTTCAATACAGATTTTGTAATAATTAATTAAAAACATGTAAGTGCGGCAGCCCATAAGTTCTTACCTCATTTCTCAAAAATTTACTTATTGGATTTGTGAGAATAGTTGCAATGAAACCAGACACGTATATGATGAGAGGAACTATTGCAATGTACTTTTTTGACAACATCAGAGTATCAGTAAGATACATCGGAATATAAACTTGAGATAGATTGACAACAAGCCGTGTACACATGTATAGAAGAGCCATCTGATAAAGTAACGGATTATTATTCATGAAATGTGAACTAAATGTGAAACCTGCGTTGATAACTCAGCTACAAGTGGGATCTAGATGAAAATAGTCAGAGCCCTAATACCATATATTTGTTTTGAAAACTTTCCCATAAAGGTACTAATATTTGTGTAAATAACTATTTAAAAAGTTTTCCATCTCCAAAATGATTTACTATTCATCAAGGAAAATTGGTATCATTGGTACAGGTAAGTTTACTCAATCATATCACAAACTGCATATTCTCTTTAATTACTGGTTCAAAAAAAGCACTGGATTGGTTAATCACTCAACAGTTTGCATGGGCATAGTTCGTATAGGCAGCTGTAGATGACTACAACAAATACATACTATTGAAACGGGGCAACAGTGGCACTAACACTTCACTTTCCTCAGTCAAATGCCAAAAATTCAATGCCAATTGACTACCTGATAAAACGAGGGACGCTTGAACCAATCAGACCATTTCATCATTGGTAAATTGCATGGAGAGTCTGAAAACAAAAAATGTAACTTTTCAATCATGTGAGCAAACATAGCTGGTTGAAGTTCAATTAGTTCCAGGCTTGCAAAATATTAAAAAATAAAAATTGATAGATCATACTTAACAAAGGATGACCGTAGTATAGTTGTTGGCAAAATTTATGCACCACTAGGCCAGATATACATATTTCCTGCTAGAGTGAGGCCATATTAATTTGCGCCTATAAACAATTGACTCAAAAGACTTCGAATTTCCTGTTTTAATTACATCTATTGTTCGACATGTTTCGAAAGTGAACAAAAACAACATTTGACTTTCGTGTACTACACTTCGTGTACTCGCCTACTCTATTTACTATGAAACAAAAGCCATACAACTTCCATTGTTGGTTCAGTAAATATAGCTGACATTTATGCAAAGGTTATTTGTACTTCTCTTCGATAGATTCTTCCACAAAAAGTCAAAAATGGGCCCGCTAATTCCAATAGATAGGTGGATATGGTCAACTATATATAATTTTTTGGAATTTTTCATCCGTATAAAATATGGTTCGAGGCAAACAAAAGTACTAAATGTCATGGAAAACAACGATCTTGATTACGTTCTATTGATGGAAGGAGACATGTTTTCTCATCTGGAATACTGCCATTTGCATCTGTAGACTGGAGAGAGCTATTTTCATCTGCTTCGGTAATTCGTGAATTTGAAATATTGGAATTATTTATGTTAAATCTTTGCTGTATAGTATGCTCCTTCACACCAATATGGAAAATAATTGAAAAAAAACAACCAGTAGCAGTGACGATGAGAACTATATTCTGCAAAAGTAAAATTCATTGTGAAATGTTTGTAGCTGCAAAGATTTGAAGCTTGAATTCAAATTTCAATAAAAACATACTAAAAGCATCGATTTCAATTCTCAATTAATGTCGGTGATTAATTGCAATAACCTACTGTTATTTTATATTGAAATTTGGAACTGAAAACAATATTTGAATTGCACAAGCTGATCATTTTTATCACTTATTTTGTGAGTGAATAATTTAATGTTTTAGCATGTACCAAGTGTGGCCAATAGAGATTTCAAGAGAATTTAGTTTAAAAAGGAATATTCAAGTGACAGAAAGTATAATATTTCACATTACAGAGTAACTGTTTTGCTAACAAATTAGAACATGTATAATTAGACATAAATCATGATTTAAAAAAAAACTGAAAATATAATTATATTTTTAAATGATTGACACACGTATATCTGCAAGCTTTATTCACTGCCAGAAAGCACAATAATATGCATGCAAGTAATAATATGCAATTTACAATATACTGAACAATACAATATACTATGTGATAATTAATCAAGATCTAAGCAAGCTCGAAGAACAATATAGATATTCAGTGGTGAAATTATTTACCCGAAATTCTGAAATATCATCTTCACTGAGTTGTTCTGTGCCTTCTCCACTTACATCAAATACAACCCAAGTGACACAGTAGACCAATATATTGCTCAGAACAGTAAAAGCATATCTGAATTAAAACAAAATGCTGTTTGAAATCAGAATAAAATCAAACATACCCTATCTCAAATACACAAACTTGCACTATTGTAACTCCTAATAAATATGAATAATTAGTGGTAGTGTTGCATCAAAAATGTTCATAGTGTTATATTTCAAGCTTTATAGTTTAATACAATGATACAAAACAGGTTTTATATGCAAAAAGGCTTCAATAAAATTAATAAATTAGAGCAACATATCCAGTGTAAGCAATAAGGTTTCTCAAAAATTCAGTTTAAATTAACTTGATTACTCCAAATACATTCTAAAATAATAAAATTGAATATGGAATAGGCCCCCAAAAAAATTTATTATGAATTGGTCAAAAAAACAAATTGAAATCAATAAATATTCAATGATAGCAACACAAGTATATTTCTGTGTAGATATTTAATACTGAACAATGGAGGTTTGCAATATATCAGTATTCCTAGCACAGCCATACTCTTTTCAAACACTTCATAAAAATAGGAAGTCGATAAAAACAATAGACATACTCACTCACCTAACTGCATTTAAATTTACTTTTTCAGCTCTATCCCGAGCTAATTCTGGTATTAATGCCAGATGGTTAATTTGAGTGGCCGCCCATCCACTTTGAAATATAATTACCAAAGGGACATAATAAATAAACTGGGCATATGCTGGTGTATTCTCAGAGCATCCAATGCATCTCATAAACAAAGGCGGAAATGATAGTATCACTGATATGGTACCTGAAAAAGTATTTTTCAAATTACTATATTGCAATGTTGATTTTTAAAAGTCTGGCAGACACATTTTTAATTCTGTATCACCAATAATAAAACATTAATACGATACCAATTCATAAGAAAAAGGATCAAAATTTTAAGGAAAATAATATCAGATTCAAGATTTTTTGAATAAAATAGGAATCAAAAAGGCAATTTCGATTGACAATACTATTTCCTGTAATTCATTTTTTCTTTATTTCCAATTATTAGATATAATAAATATTTTTGAGAATTAAAACAAAGATTTATTCTTTATCAGAGTGAAAATGGAGAGTAATAATAAGTGAAATCGGAACATCTTTTAATAGGAATGTAATTTTACCTACCTATCAATTATTAAGTCAAATATATTGTGGAAGAGCAAAAATTGTTACGAAAAAGAGTTACCTATAAGATGCCAAGTTTTCCTTCTTCCATAATTACATAAATTTCCTCTACGATCAGACTCATAACCAACAAGTGGTGTGGCAATACCATCAGCTATTTGACCAGCAAGAAGAAGATAACCAGCTGTCGCATTACTGAACTTCAAAACCTGAGATGACAAATATCTTCCGAATGAATTTAATAAGTGACGAAAGTTGGTATTTTTTAGTCAAGTTCAACTTGAAGATTATATAACCACATTTCCAAATGTTAAATTGTTATTGATATCTTACATGCATACATGCCAGACTGGATTCCATGGCAGGTGCACGCCCGAGGGCGCTAGCGCTTCGCAAAAATGCACGCGAGCGAATTCAATTTTGCACGCCGAAAATTTGCAATTGCTCACCAATGTAAATCGGTTTAAATGGTTTTAAAATCAATAATCCAGTAATATAAAGATACCAAAATATTATAACTCCACAATTGTCGACAAATATCAGCTTGCAAGATTTGGTCTGATCGAAATATTGCGAAGCAAAAAGACCATGGACCTTTCCCCAACCTTTGACCCGCGAAAAATTCCTCTCATTGTTACGTCCTTTTTTGCATCTTGCTGATTGGCCAATGTCACGAAGTAAACAAGGAAGTCGATGCTCGGGGAAAGGTCCATATCGTGTTAAATGATAGGAAATAGGAATCCCGTGAGAATAGTTATGGACGAAAAGATCGCCTCCGCACCAATGGCCAAGTACGGCTCTGATTCAGCGTATTTTTCATACAATAATTTTACACGAATGTACTGAACAGTACCGGTATCTAAAGTTGCTCAAACACTCCCAAAATTAGTGACAAAGTATGAAAATAATGTTTAGGGTCAAAGGTCAAACGTCCATTTTGCTCTAATTTGACGTATTTTTTATCCATTAATTCTACGTAAAAACACTACCAAAATTAATGACAAAGTATGTCCATTTTGCTCTGGTTCAACGTATTTTTTATCCAATAATTTTACGCGGATGTACTGAACAGTACCGGTATCCAAAGTCGCACAAACACTCTCAAAATTAGCGACAAACTGTAGAAATAATGTTTGGAGTCAAAGGTCAAACGTCCATTTTTTTCTCTGATTCAACGTATTTTTTATCCGATACCGGTAATTTTACGCGGATGTATTGAGAGGTATCTGATGTCAAAGTCAGTTGCACGCGAGTGCAGTTGTTTTGCACGTCGTGAGCTATAATTGCACGCCAGGAATTCTTATTTGCACGCGGGAATTTCTGATTGCACGCCCGATTTCTCGTTCAAAAAGGCCATGAAATCCAGACTGGCATACATGTAAATCTACCCTCAGAGTATTCTTGAACCAACTTACTTTGTGAAAAAATAAAAGCAAATAGCTGAACCACATAGAAGCACAGAGGTCGTTAAGAACATGTCCAACACCAAATGATAAACGTTGCCGAAATAATAAACCCATTAGCAAGATATGTTAGCAAGATTCTCGAATTCAAAGCACCGGTAAGTCTATTTTAAATTTAAGGCATAAGAAACTGACTTGAACAGAAAGAGGGAAAATTTTAACATATTTCAATTCAATAAAGCTAGTGGGTATAACGTCCTTAGCCACTAAAAATCCAGATAACTATCATATTTTGTATAACATAACATTTACATAACAGTGATGATACCGGTAACAAAACTAGCCTACTTTACCCAATCTTGACCAACAACTGGAGAGACTTCACCTGGACTCATGTCACCTGGGTGATATCGAAATATGAGATACAATTCCAGTGCTATTCAATTCAACAAGTAGCCTAGATTGAAGCCAGTTTAAAAAAAATCAGGGTTCATACGTCACATGGCATGACTACAGGCAAAAACCTCACTTAACTTAAACCTGGATTAAGACTAATCTCGGGTTAGTGAACTCGGTTTAAGTTCGATAGTTAACCGCAGATCAAAAACCTAGTTTAGCGGTTACTTAACTAATCCTGGTTTAAGTCCGACGCCACGAGGCATTTCATCAAAACGTCGTGGCATGTTGCTCTTTGACCCCGTATTTCCATGGCGATGACAACGCGAACACAATTTTGTTGTAATTTGCTGTCTTTGCAAAGTCGGTTTTTGATGTATTTCGTTGATTTTGCCGAAGCAAAACAAGCTGGGCGGTAGAACTACGAAGAGCTGACGCGCATTACACGAAATAATAACAATTTATCATAAATAGAATCCTTTCTACAGTCTACAACTACAACAGGGTCGGCCAACCTTTTTGGTCGAAGGGCCACATGTAATTCATTAATAATTGCGCGGGCCAATTGACATGGTAGTTATGATCTAGTTTTGCTACACTACTACAGGTTAATAATAAAAAGATACCCTCACATCAAACTTTCACAATTATTAGAACAATAAAACTGTTGTTTTCCAACCATTGACGGGTCGCCATTAGTGGTTATTCCTGAAAGTTTAGCCAAAGACAAGACGCTTAATCATTTTGATCACAGCTCTCGAAAAATCAATGCCTCTAGTCGTACCCTTAACAATGGCTGCGGTCTCCACGGTAATTTTATATCATCATTAACTACCCGCAAAAAGATAGCAAGTCACCAACTGAGCAGTAAACTTAATGTCAGCGCTTCCTCAAGCGCCAAGGAATACAATAAAAAATTTCCTGTTTTTGCAATTAAAATTCAATGCAATTCAATCAACAAGACGAGTTATGGTCTGTCTTGACAGGCTATTTTTGCAAACACCTAGAAATGCTTCTACATATGGCCCGCGGGCCACGAGTTGGACGACCCTGGTCTATAACACTAATTGAATCAAATTTTTTTCTCCTAAAACCTCAGCGTAACAACAAACAGACTTAAATTATAGAACCCGCATCCTACTTAGAGTGAAAACAGGCGAAATGGACACACTCCAGCTGAAAGCCTATCCCTGGCAAGTTCTGGGCCACAGGCTTCTACATATTTAACATTTTATTATTTTGAAAATTTGTATTGCAAAAATAACTAATATTCATTTGTTCAAATGACTGCTAAAATGTACTGACATTCAAGAAATGGAAAAAGTATAGAATCAATTCAGAAGAGGTGCTAAATTTTATCCTGGCTCTACAGCTTTGAGACAGATGCACACAGACACGGTTCCATTACATTTGAACTCACGTACATTTGAACCCATGGCAATTGAACCTGCATACTATTGTACCTATGGGAATTTTTTTTGTTTTACGGATATTTGTACCCATACTAACCCTAACCCATGGGTTTTAGCACCCGCATATAGATTGAACGCGCGGATATACACATGGGTTCAAATGTCCGTGGGTTCAAATGTAAGGTCACCCACAGACACAGGTGCAATCATAGTTGTTGCTTTCGTTGCTATTTAAAAGTTTTATTTATTTCTTCTGCGGAAGACTCGCCAAGTGACGAAAAATTGACATAACTACGTTTGCTTCAAGTGTTTTAGCATGCAAGAATTATTTGTTTGTTAAGCTTAAGTTAACCGGGTTCCACATATTTGTTGGACACGAAGTCGTAAAATAAAGCACTGCTGCAACCTTGACTTGACAACACTTTTACTATAATCCTATCCATAACAGTTGTTTGTCTTCATGACCTGAACAATATAAATGAAAATACAGGGTTAAAGATAGTATATTGATGAAGTGCGCCAGATATTAGAGAAGCAAATTCGACCTAGGCAATGACTAAAACCGAATAATTTGTATTCGAATTTGTGCACCTTTTTTTGTATTCTGAAATGATATTTTTGAATTACATAAAATCCAATGTATATTTAATTTATATGAATTTGGAAAACAAGCGCCAAGGGTGCTTTGGAGTATTTTTAGTTTTCAGATATTAAACGAAGGCATTTGCATTTACGGATATATGCGTCTTTACATATACACCCTTATCCTTCCATGCTATATACTAGGGTTACCATATTCGAAAGAGTCAAATTCCGGACACATTTTTCTATGAGACGTTATATCGCGCGCCTCCGGCGCGCGAAATTTTTTTGGCTTTTATGACGTCATAACCGCATATTTGACCCATGCGAGGTGCAGTCTGCCCAATTATAAAGTATGTAGGACTACTTGGTTGGAAGTATAATATTCGTATTTCAAACGGATTTTTCTTTTCGGTGGAACTATTCTTGAGCAGATATATTGCAGCAAGTTGCATAATGGTTGCACAATAAAAAAAAATCGAAAGTCGGGAAGGGGGAGCAGGTTGTGCACCGTTGCCCTAAATATAGCTACGGACCGTCATTGAAAAAAAAATCTCAACTTTAATCTCAAATAATAATGACAATTAGGTTGTGCCGAACAGGAAAAAAAGGAATTGAAGACACGCTTGTAAGTCAAGTCACTACAAATTTACTCTTCTGACCATGCATATTTTTCTGAAGATCTAATTCTCCTCAATAGGGCCTTGTCTGATTTTAAAAATGAAAAAAATTCACTACAGCGCATATTTTTGAAATTATATTGAACAGTCAATATGCCTTTCATGGTCGCAACGCTCAGCTTGTTGCTCTCTTTAGTCCACTGACTTTGCATCAGAGAAAAGACTCTCTCTACATTGGCATTGTGGGATGTAACAGCAAAGAAAAACTGTACAATCCTTAAAATTTCTGAGTGGCATGTGATGTTCGTAGACTGATCGAAATATTTGCACCATTTCTTATGCGTTGGCAGTTTAATAAATGCTTCGTCCTGTACGTAACTTTCCACAAACTGCCTCAAGTTACAGATTTGGTCAAAGCCCTTTGCATCGTCCACATCAACCCCTTTGCCAATCAGATATTCCAGGCAAGGCTCTACATCCTTCCAACTTGGTATCTCGTTCAAGGTCATCCATTTGAAACAAGTAAACTCTTCCATTGGTTTCATCCATTTACACAGGTACTCCAGGCATCTCTCATAGAGGTTTGCAACTTCGGAAAGAAAATTGTTACATTCATCTTCATATCCCTCTTCTCTTTTTTCATTTAAAAGCCTTTTAACCGTCAAGGACATAAAGCTTTCATTCTTCCTTTCCACAAGCACCTTATGAACCAGCTCCAAATTTTCTAGCACTTCTGCGACGGAATTGTTTTCTCTCTCAACCACTTGAATACGTCCATGAAACACGGACATCAGTGAGTGCATATGCCAAAGGTATAACTCGCTCATTTCATTCTCAAAGAACCGTTTAATAACTATTGGTGGATGTTCTTGTGACAAAAAGTAGGACTTCAGGGGTGAAAACATTTCTAACAATCTTGAAATTCCAGGAAACAAGGAGAGCCAGCGAGTCTTGCTATGAGAGAGAAGTCTCTTGTATTCACAATTTGCAAATTCACAGTATTCTTTCAGTTGTTCAGTTCTAACTGTGTAAATAGAAAAATATTGATATATCTTATTGATATTATTTTCAATATCGATGTTCATTCTTTCAGCGCCATGATGAATACAATTGTTCAAAACGTGTGCTGGGCAGCCAACCCCCAATCAATGACGGGTTTAACATTTCTTTAACTTTGCAAACACATTGTTTCCTTGGTCATTACGCCGAAGTCCTCCAAACATAGTATTGCAGTTGTCTCCTGTAAATGACACACATTTTTTCAAAAGCATCATTTTTTCTAAAAGTGTCTTTTATATAAGTGGCAATTGTGTCGGCAGTCTCGTTTGCCTTGTTTGTAAACTCAATCAATTTTGATTGCAAACCACCATTCCTCCAGTCAAAATATTGAATAATTGTTAGGAAATAATTTCAGTTCATTGTGATTGCTGCCATCTGTTGCAACGCCAAAATACGCGATATCGTTTTCTTCAAAACTTTTCAGAACAGCATCAATAGAATATTGCGCAAGAACGCTAGTAACAACTTTTTCTGTCTTTGTGCGGCCGCTACTGAACTTCTTCGCTACATTAGAATCAGAGAAAATCTTTTTAAATAAAGCAGATGTACAGTCCATGGACAAAAAGCTATGATGATGCTTAACAGCGTGAAATGCAAGCGTACCTTCTGCGGCAGTGATTTCATCTTCGCATTTGCTTCCTGCTGTAGCAAAATAATTTGTCATATTCGTTGATGCAACAGCCCCTCCTACTGCTTTGCGTTATTTTTCCGATTGCACATGTGTGTTTAAATCACCATTACCTTTGTGCACGATAGATACCGTATTTTCCGGCGAATAAGTCTACCCGGTGAATAAGACGAGGCCTGTTTTTAAGCCTGAAAAAATGGGTTTTTGCATATAACCGGCCAATAAGTCGGGGTAGTAAAATCGCATCAACGTCGGGAATCTTAAAATACCATGCAATGCCTTTCGAGCAGTCGCCGCGTTTGCGCATTGGTTAAAATAGCCTATAATGACTTTTTCTTGTAGCAAATATGTTAATCACAGCATTGAAATTCCAGATTCACAGCACGAGAATGTCGATTTATTTAAACTAACCCGATGAGGACGTGGGGGATGCTATCGCCGAAGGTATTTATTTTCCGGATTCAATAATAAGGCGACAAAAAAATGAAAATGATCATACTCGCCTAATAAGACGACCCCCCCAAAATCAGGCCAAAAATTTGGGTCTAGAAAAGCGACTTATTCGCCGGAAAATACGGTATATAAGTTCCTGATTTGCAAACCAAGCATTCTGCCTCCTAATCATTCCTGCCTTTTCTAAAACATGGATGTTTTCTTGCTTCTCGTTAGTGAATGTGCACTTTCTTTTAAAATTAGCCATTTGCAATAATATCTTCTTACAATAAATACAACCCAACTAAAAATACATAATCTAAAAAACAAAGTAATTTACCATCAGACTAACTGAACCAAAAGGCTATAGGGACTATCACTTTCGATCCCGAATTCCACAAGTAAAGCTTTGTGGTATAAAACTTTTGTATTCAGCTAACTTAATAAGGGACTAGCACTAGTTGCTATCAAATACACTTGCAGCTGCTCAACGAAACGGCTAAAAAGTCAGATAATAATAATCATAAATAAACGGTAGATAACTGTGGCAAGTAACGACCAAATAAGATATCAGTCCGTCAATCCAGGCTAAGCCAGTCAATCAACAATACTTAGCAAAGCTACTCAGTATAATCCATGCAATAAACGCAGCCCAGTCAGCAGTCAAAAATTCTGTATCAAAAATTCACTAGGCTTCCTCCTGTATGACATTTTAAGTTAATCTCTGATAAATGTGGGAAATCGCCTGCTTTATAGATGGAATGTTCTAGTAACTTTCGCAGCATGTGATCTATATCTAACCAATTCATATTCAGCACAACGGTTCAAGAAAGTTCCAAGTCAGGGGTTCTCAACCTTTTTCCTGTCAATTTTTTTCTGTCAACGCGAACCTCCGGTAATCAGACACCGAACAAAGTTATGATATATTGACTATCAATTTGTTGCAACAACAATTCATTGACCTTATGTAACTAAATTAAATCTTCGTGTTGATATTATTGCCCTTGTCGCCTGCCCATCTAATGAATTCTTAAAAACTCCCCCTAGTTCCAATAACCATAATCTATTTCTCCAATGCTCGCAGTACGCTGTCTTTAGAGATTGCACAGTTTGCCTTTAAAGCCGTGAATTTCACATTGTTGCGTCACAATCAAAACAACGCAGGATCAGGAAAAATAAACGTTTCAATTGGTATCTATTTTCAATGGGCACGCATTTTCCTCTTGTAGTAATGAAGGATATTAATAAACAATGTTCTGCATTAGCAGTGTTCACAGAACGATTGCAGATGCAGTAAAATTCCGGACATTTGAGCATATTCTAAAATTCTTTCCGGACGCAAAATTCAACCCTAAATTCCGGACATGTCCGGAATTTTCCGGATGGTATGGCAACCCTATGCTAGGAGTCGTTAGTTGTTTCTGTGTATCGGGCGCCTCCTGGAAAATCAGGTCGCCTCGATTCTAATTTCTTCCTATATTCTTTTGCTAGTTTTTCTACTTTTTATGCTATTATCAATTACTGTTAGGTTTTTTTCACGGGTGTCGCTGCTCGATAACCAGTCTTGGTTTCTCGCGACTCCTATTCACCTCGGCTTACCAGTTTCGCCTCTTTTTACATACTGTATTGATTAGTGTTTGATGCTTCATGTATGGTGGATAAAATAAACTACTGATTACAAACTTTTTTAAATAGTCATATTTTTAAAACTGTTACAGCCACAAAAAACCCAAAATATGAAAGTTGTTCAGTTTTTTCATAGCTATCTAATAATCGGATGATTCATTTTCTATGAGGCTCGATAAAAAAATATTAAATAAATGATAAAAATCCAGATAAATGCACGTATATTACGTTATGCTAATGATCGTACGTCGTTGCGTAACTACAACGTGTCGCCGTGTGTGTCGTCGAAATCGCGGCCGCCAGCTGTGCGTCGCAGCCAACGTCATTGGATGTGACGCCAGTACTTATCACAGATGGGGTATGCCTGATTCGTTCAAAAAACATGACGAAATGCCAACTTGAAAATGGCGATGATGCCGTCTTCCTGCGGTCGAACAAAATTTTGGCCTGTACTTAGCATGATACGTAGAGAGTGGCCTTGTTATCCACCATTCACACAAACTCCTACGTTACAAAAAAAAGTTTGTTCAAAAGCTGCACAAAACGGTACTACACAAAAGCGTGAAAAAAGCCCGTGTATTGAGATTTACACACGGTACATGGGTGTGGTCGATCACATGGAATGAAAACTTATTTGTTCCCTCACAGAGGACTAGAGTGGTATTTCCGAATCTTCGATGCCCCTTGATAAGCATTTGCATGGTAAATGCACATATTCTGTATAGTGGAGTCCGGAAAGATGAAAAAGATTTGAAAGATTTTATCCACGATATATGCCTTGACTTGTTAAAACCTCGCTCTGAAACAAGTTTGCCAAGCCCATGCCAACTGTAACAGTAAATGCACCAAAAGCCAACCACTGGCCAACTCTTCGAAAAAATATCATGATTGCGTGCAATGTTCAGATCGACAATCTCGACGACAAGAAACCAAATATTTTTGCAGGGGTTGTGATGTTGCTCTTTGCCCCGCAACATGTACAGAGTTATATCACATGAAAAATACATAGTCGTTGGACAGCACCTTATCATTGTCTACTGTCCCTTTATCCTCAATTTCTTGTTTATTTCATTCACCCAATCTTTTTTTTATTTTTGTACGTTTTATATTTCCTAGTGTTTGTGCAATATACAATTGGTCACCGCATCATTGTTGTGTTCATATATTTTGGAGAGGAGGACCAAAAAATAACTTGTTATTTATAATCCATAGTTACAATCCACATTTGCCACAATGGACATATTTATAGGAGGGCGAAGAAAAACATAGTCTACTTTGGATAGTTGGACCACCCCTTTTGCATCCAAATATTAATAGCTCACAGTGACGGGATTTTATCATCAGAAGCCAAACGTGACTATACGCGGTATGATTGAAATTTTTCTGGTAAGCGGTAGAGTCATAGGTGGACAGGTTCGCCCCGGTCGGTGCTTTTCGGAAGACGCAAAATTTTCGAGTCGATGTGCATAACCTACGGCCGTTGATGATGAAATCTTAGGCCAAAAGGTATTGGATTAATATAATAAAAGAATATATGTTTGAGGCTGGCAAAGTTTTCCTGTTACGAAAAATCGAATCATGTGTCTTTTAATTGCCAGGGTGAATTATATTACCGGTATCATGAGCAGTAAAAGTTGTGAACACTGGATTACTCCATGGTCGAGACAACGGCATATACCATTATTTGTGTTATATCCTTTCTTGTGCCTCTACACTCGAGGTCATTTGCATGGGTCACTTTCAAAATTTTTTTTTAATTAACTGTTAGGCACTATTCACGCAGGGCTTTTTACAATGCTGGACTACTATTTGGTTAAATAACTTTAAAAACCACTTCTTCAATCACATATTTTTATGCAACCTAATATCCGAAAAGTTGTTAAAAACCAACCTTGAACGTGAGAGTTTGTGTGCCTAGTCGAGGGTTAAAAATTAATTGTAACTAAATAATTTTTATTATGACGTTTTTTTTCTCTTATTTTACAACAAAACAACTCCACAACCATTATTGTAGCTGAAAAGTTAACGTGAAATGCACATCTGCATTACAAAATTTACAAATTCAACACCACCTCAGTAGACCGTTTTGATGACGTGCACCGTAACTATTGTTGCACTTCTGCATTGCTTCCTGATGCAACATATATTACTTTTTTCAACGATAACACGCGTAGCGCGACGTAAACAAGCCAATGTGCGCCATTACAATGAAATGCACGATGAATTTTACGTTTTATTCTTGTTTAGGATTTTACCACCTCCCTACCGAACACCACTGGTCGAGTGAAAGTCATATTTTCAAAACACTACATGACCAAGCATGGAACAGATGAATAAAAGTTCACTCTAGGGCAGGGGTCGGCAAACTTTTGTCGCGGGCCGACATTAAAGGTTGTAGGTCATTGGCGGGCCGCACATAATTTTAAAAAGTTGAAAATCCAACAAATGATATTTTTTATAATAAAAATCAAGCATCTCTCGAATAGAATATAGATTTATTCATTTATTTCCTCATTGCATTATATCTCAAAATATTTCATTTTGAATATTTTCTTTTTTGTTGTTCTCATTTGTCCAATTAGAATTAAATTAAAGGCTCAATAAACGAGTAAGATTAGATTATGATATAATTGAGGCTACACGTGCCTCACAATAAATCATGTTACGTAAAGAATATAATTGTCAAAACAGCTGTTTTGTTACTATAATTCGGTGAAGCAATACAAAGTCCATTAAACACAACGCCTTCAAATACGACGACTTACCCCTTTTGGAAACAGTATCGTCTGATTTAAAAGCGAGGCTCATTTCATTTATTGTTGATCTGATGACAGGAGGAAGTTCAAGTCCACAAAAACTTCCGTGAAATTTAGCGTCGTCACTCAAACCACTACGGATTTCCACATAATCGTATTTACAAACCTGGATTTTTGACATAAAAATTAAGAATTGGAAAATCTGAGGAAAAATTGATAAAACGCAATGTGAAATGATATAAATTTATTTGTATATGCGCTGCTCAATTTGAAGAACTTATTAGGTGTGTATTCAGGATAAGTTAGAAATAGAGATGGTCCCAACTTGCATTTGAAAAAAAATTTTCTTTAGCGGGATAATGATACACAACTATGTCAAATATAGATTTTAATAATTTCAGTGTTCTGACATATTTTTTCTGCAATTTAGTTCAATTAGGATGATCCTAAGCAAGTCTAATATGCGATAAAGCGTATTTCGTTGATGAATCAGTGTTTTAATTAAGTTCTACATCAGTGAGTTTAAAATACATTATTTCTATCCAAAAATGTTCGTCTTTTTTTAGACATAACACCCAAAATAACAAAATAAAGTCACATAATACCAGAAAATTCAAAACACCACTATTATATCCTAAAATTACGAATTAGTCAATTTGTAATTTCGTGAAATTCGGATTTAGTTCCTAAATTGAGGAATAATAACAGATGATATTGCAGCGGGGAAACTAGCTTCTTCCAACGCACGAGTCAAAGAAGATGTTGGAATATAAGCCTCGCTTTGGGTGTAGTCCATGTTTGGGCGAGCTATTAGTTATAAGCAGACTCTAAATAGTACAGCCTCAATAATGATCCTTAAATTGAGCATTTGAGACCGATGATTCAAAATATAAGCGACAGGGCGGAAAATGTCTGAAAGTTTATTGAAGCCATTGTATCAGTATTTCTCCTGAGCGGATCCCAAATACGAATAGGCAAAAAATTAAGATTGATTCGTGCCTTATCCGCTTAAATGTACTGGGCGACACTGGAATGCCAGGATCTACTGAAACTACATACTAGCATGGCGGTGCATTATGCGCAGGCAAATGACGCAAGGAGATGAAGCATTTCAAGCTATTAAGATAAAATTGCTATGAAATAGTGGAAAATATCGTAAAAAGTCATTCTACATCATTTAAGCTCTTTGAAAAAGCTACGACGCAAAATATGCTTATGTATAAAGTGCCAGTGATAGCTCGCAAGTTGCGAGTCGCTGCCAACTAAATACGACAGCTGAAAGCTTTTCTAGAAAGGACAAGTTCCGAATGTACTGATCTCATGATGTTTCAACCTTTGAATGTTGCGCTTGCAATCAAAAATATTCGGAAGCTGAATATCTGCGAAAAAAAGAAAACCAACCTCATTTCCTTCTAATTCAAACTTTTCAAATTGAATAGAAATCTTATGTTGAGGTGGAGCTACGATTTGCCAGACACATTTTTTGTTTGTTGGATATTCATTGGGCCAATTCGGTGAGGTGATATAACCATCCAAATTTGTAACGGACCCGCCACAAGCAGCTTCACAAGTTCTGAAATATGAGCATTTTCGAAAAATTATGATTATATTGATTGTAAATCAATTTATAAGCAAATTAAATCAGGATAAACCTTTTTAAAATAAAATTCGTATGTACTGAGCAAATTTTAGTTACAATTATTAAATAAAATCAGAAAATAACTAAATAAGTGATCAACCACACGTGCACGATGGCGATCCGTGAACAGTTCGTTATCGGTGCCTACAGTTTTCCATGTTGGACGCAATTTCTGGCCCAAATTGCCAAAAAGGCAGCCGACATTGTTATTAACGACTAATTAATCAAATAATATTTTCGAGAATAATATTCCATAAAATATTCAATCACTTTTCCGAATGGCAGATAAAATTTGATCCGAAAATCGCAATTCGTATACTATTTATTCAACAACTGAGTTTATAAGCATGTTGGATTACCTCGGTTGAATTTTGGGGAACTTTGCATGCCTGACCCAGTCGCACCAGTGCTTGATTCAAACCCAACCTTCGATAGAAATACAAAGTATATATATTCTATACCACGATCTATGTCTGAGCTATTAATAGTCTTACTAATAGGCTTATTTTGAGCAGAGCAAAGTCGCCCCCAGAGCAAAGAGCAGACCAAGTCGCCCCCATCTACGGGGACAGGATGAGCGCTGTAAGTTCTCCCATCATTTTATGAGTATAAAAATCATTCCATCGGTAACAACCAATCGGCAAAAGCGACAATTTTTAACGATAAGAAAGTGTCTTTAAAACCGGTCCAAGTCAAGGGATTAATAAATATAGACATAGTTTATTTTGAAACCTCTTTCAAAAGGAAAGACAATATTTACCCAGATAAATACAATGACATATTAACAGAAACTTCGGGAAAGCAGACAAAACCTAAAATAAGGTTTAAAACGTTACTATGAAGAAAGGAAAGGTAATGCAAAGATAAGGACATGCGTCGCTCACTCATAGATATATATGCTGCTAGACTTCTACTGCTTGAACATATATGCAACACGCCGCGGTTTCGTGGAAGCAAAATGCTCAATAACGCGCTGATTAAGGTCATGCATCCCAGAAATAACGTCTCTGTGAATGGATAAAACAGCCAAGGAATTTAATCTATCTTGCTTCATTGTGTTTCTGAGATACTTTTTAATACGCTTCAGCGTGCTGAATGTTCGCTCTGCGTCGGCGGAAGAAATAGGCGTCGTCAAAATGATGTCCAGAAATTTTGCAGACGCCGCAAAGGTAGTTACTAGAGTGTTATCTATGAGGAACCCATAGAGCGCGCAAGTTGATGTGATGTTCAAAAAAGTTTGATTGGTGTATATACATCGCAATTCATTTTCCAATTTACCCACGTTTATCATGGGGTAAAATTTGGAGACAGTAGCCAACAAAAGGATGGGAAATTGACGTGCAAATTTTGAAAAATTTTTGGGGTTCATCAAAGAGAACGCGGCAAGGTGTTCAGTGCGCAGACGATCGCCTATTTGATTCACCAGAATGTCACAGCATTCCTTTGCAGACAAAATCAATCGCTGCGTTGTTTGCCCGCGGCGTAAAGAAGCACTCCATGTGTCGTCGTATTTTATTGTTTCCCGGATACGAGATACAGCATCGCAGAAGTCTGAAATACACGACTGCACAGACGCTCCATCCATTAGCCTTGACTGCAATGCGCCGTATAATACATCCACGTGATAGAATATTGTGGAGAAAAAAGCGAGAAAAAATGAAAACTCACCATCTTCTAGCAGACGCTTTAGACCTGCCGCCTCCCTCACAGAGCATTCGTCCCAAACCGGAGAGCTCTGAATGCCATTGAAACACTCAATGAGCTCAGACCTAATTTCGGACACGCCCTGCACCACGCGTGATTGGAAGTTCCAACGTGTTGGTGCACAAGCTGGGAGACGGCGGCTACATATCTGGCGAAGGAGGTCAGAGCGCTTCGGCGAAACGGAAAAAAATGAAGAAAACCCCGAAACATTTGCAAAAAATATACGGATAAACATTTGCAAAAAATATATAAACTTGAACACCATGTTTCGACCCACTCATGACTGCCGCGCCGTCATAGTTTGAGCTATCAATTTTGACTTCGCGTTGTAAGGCTGTAACACTTCTTTCAGTACAGCCGATATCCCGCAAGCCGTGCGATCACCGATTGGTACAAAGCTGTGAAATTTCTCGGTAGGTTTACCATCTTTCACAAACCGAAAAATCACAGCCAGTTGGGAAACGCACGTGATGTCAGTTGTCTCGTCAGACTGAATCAAAAGGAACTGGCAATTCTCAATTTCCAGAGCCAAATGTTGTAAATAAATTTTATACATTGAGTCGAGCAAATCAATTTGGATATCCTTAGATGTCCCTTTCGAAACAGTTGCGGGATCAAGATGATCTCTCAATACTGTATCTAGGGATGCGGTGTATTCCACCATATCCAAAAATACCCCTCTATTAGAAGAGCCAGCCCGTTCATCGTGCCCACGGAGGGACAGCTCGTGACAACCAATGAACTTCAAAACATCTATCAATCGACCGAGAACATGGCGGTTTTTCTCGACGTTTTGGTTGTGCCGACGAATAGAAACCGCGCGTCCTTCATCCAACTGTGCTGCAATATTAACATTTCCGAATGTTCGGTATTTTACTGCATTGTCCAGATGCTCCATAGAAGATTGATGATCCCTGGCACGCTCGGTAAGATGTTTAAGATCTCTAAAACCAAATTTACACCAACGTGAGTCACGGGCGATAGCAAAAAGTAGGCAATAAAAACAAAAAAGTGCATTTTTGTCCTCGCTGTAACACAACCATTCGTGTTTTTTATACCAAGTTTCTGCGCAGAATGTACGCCGACGCTTTCCTCCGTCATGGGATTGTTCCGGTGAACAATTTTTTGGTTGATAAAGCCCAAGACGTTGTACCTCTAATTTTTGTTCCAGCGGCAGCCGCGAAAACGGAGTGCGAAGTAGTGCATCAACCTTATTCATTATGAGGTCTAAGGCTAAGAAATGCGAAGCCGGAAAGAAGTGAGGAGCTCAAAAGGAATGTGGAAAATCGAAAGCAAATGGACTAAAGGTCTCTAACTGATTCAAATAGCGAAACAAGCGACAAAAACGAAGGCGAGGAAACTATCAACTCTTCAAGCAACCAACGAACGAGAAGGAATGCGTGAATATGTCAACACGTTGTTGTAAGAAACGTCGGCATTGTGTCGTCATAGTTTCGGGGCTAGCCCCGATGATTCAGTAAAAGAAACAGAAATCAAAGGAGACAAACGCGGCGAGTGGAAGATAAAAGAGAGAATACGATATACAATGAGCAACCGGGGCAAAATCGGCCTCGCCCCGTCGACGTTCGGCGAAGGCTTTGCGAGCGAAAAATGAATCATGTCGGGAGAATATGGCTAGTGTAGACAGTCTGTGCAACCGATATTGAGGTATTTTTCGAATATTTTTTATTATACCGAAAAAACAACCATTGCCCCGGTTGGCCCTACTGACGCGCCGCCACTGGTAAATTGAAACCAGTTCAGCCAAAATCACAAGCTGTTCTTCTTTACTGTCTTTCCCAACGAAAAACGAAGACAAAGTATTGTTTTCTTTCTGCAAAATAATAGTCCTTTTGTGTTTTAGCATGACTAGACACGGCGGGTTATTTACCGTCATATTTAACAGAAAAGTACTGTCGGCAGAGTGTGCAGTTTGCAGTAAATCCATCAACTTTAGATAGCCATGACATGCCTTCTTCTTTTAACCATTCTGAACGGAAAACACAATATCGTTTGGAAAGTTAGACTTTCTTTTTGGGCGGAGTTTGTTCCAATGTATCCTTCACATTACATTCTACATCAGAATCACTTTGCTCAACACACTCGGTTTGTGAAGATGACATGAGATTATAAATAGTATAAAAAATAATGAAGAACTTCTATAACACCCGTAACAATAGTGATTTAATGAATATTTACCACAAGTGAAGTTCCTGTCAAATGTTTAGGTTAAAACTTGTAGTCTTTACAAAAATAAAGTAATCAATGAACTCTCGCTAAGACAAAGAGCTGTCAGCAAGGCGTCCTAAAATAGAAGTGTGAGCCTGAAAACTGACTGAATAATGAAAACCGTCCCATAAAATAGCTTCACACTAATGACTAATAGTGCATTATCAACTAAAAACAAGAAATACAAAATATTGTTCTATATAAAAATACTACACACCGTAACTTTAACGACTAAATTCCTCAACAAATCTCACTGGATTAAGTTTTTTGAAGCTTTGTCTTATTGTACTGTACTAATTAAAAAATTAGTTTTTAAACTATTTTTGGTTTCACTGTTTTATTTTAAAGTTAAATACATTATTTGCTGTAAAATATGGGTTGCTACATGTATATTATAAGGTAAAAAGGTCCACTAGTGCTATTTCCTCTACATATAGGCCTAGCTTTTTCGCCAAAGCTCTTACTCTATATGTGGTCTTTAGGGAAACCAAAATACTTTCACACCTAGGCTAAACGTTAGGCTAAATACCAATTTGATTCATACAAACTAATCAATCTAATCCTATCTTCACATTAACGTTTAACCTTCTTTATTTACTTACTTTTTACCGACGTAGTCTACAGCTAAAGAATCGTATTAAAACTACCTGCGTTTATTCAATTGATATAACAAGTTGAATAAGCCTCTCAAACTAAGGTGATGTTATTATCCATTTTGCAATTGTATAACTTACTTGATTGTTATGTCATAAGGAAGTCACGGTTGACGAAACAACATGGCCTACCCGTGAGGTTTCAACTCACTTTTGTTTAAATGACCCATACAGATGAAATCGTTTTTATTAAAAAAAAATATTCGCGTGAATTACATCCGTTTCCAGTTTTGAACGAAGCCGACACGCTTACATGGCCTTATATTTCAGCCCGCCTTGGTTGCCAGTAAATTCCGGGACAACAGTAGTCCAGCCCGAGACACTGGACGCCAGACGTCAATTCCGGGACTGTCCCGGCCAATCCGGGACGGTTGGCAACCCTAGTCTTATCACCAACGGATTTTTCTCGATGGATACACAATTCCGCGTGAATAATCTAATTTGCGACGTTCTTGTGGTAGAATACGTATTTGTGAGAGGGGGGAAGATTAGCGGATGCGATGAAGATGGTTTACAATTTAGACTTCGCAAAGTACCCTAATGCCCTAAAATAAAAAAGTTTGTGGTACACGATCGTTACCATCTCGATCGTTCGAAATTGTTGTCAACAAGAAGATC